CAAAACTTTTGGAAATTACCATGTCATCAAGGGAAGGAGAGTTTAGAAAGCAGTTCTAGTGATGAACTCACATCAGCAATAGTGTTTTTCTAATACAATCATACAGCAGGACAAGCTTGCCAGCGTAGTTCCAACATTGTCTCATGCGCTCAATGCTCAAACAGTGTTAGTCCACTGACACAAACCAAATGGGTCCCAGTGCGTCACTCAGCAGACTAATGAGACTTGATGGGCTTGATGTTGGACATCACGGCTTTCTGCGGCTTATAGCTCTGACTTGTGTATTTGCAGTCCCACAGCTATTGCACGCAGTAATTATATACACACTAGTCTCCAGAGTGGCCTACCAATGCCTAAATTACAGTTGGTGGATAAACCATGGCCAAGTAAGAAAATAAAATGACTCGAAAGAAACTTGACATACCAAACACTGTGGCCTGCAAAACTAGGAAAAGAATCGCAAACAACTCATTGGAAAATGAGGGTCTCTTGTTTGTTATCCAAGGATTTATTCAACATTGTGGGAATTGACATTATTAATAGAAAATGTTAAAATGGCCTGTCAACATTTATCTCCACTGCTTCACTTGTGGATAACACAGTAAGCATTTTGAAGAAGCATTAGCTGAATAATAATGGAGACATTTCTCGTATGCTGTACAGTGATATGCATACTAAAGGGCATTTGCTGCTAATGATCTAACACTGGCTTTAGAGGGAGCAGAACGATTTTTATTTAAAAGGTGAAAAAGGTCCATCCTGACAAATAGGCAGAGTTGTTCAGAGGTGTAGAGCCCGAAGCGTTTTCTTCCCGTGTCTAGCCATAACATTACACCATGGCCACAGCTGCTGTGTCGCCGCTGATCTGTCCCCAAGAAACATGATGCTGTTTATAATCTGACCATCATTTGGACGCCGACAGCTTGCGACGCCAGACCCATGATTTACCCCTGTGTGTGTTTGTGCGTGTGTGTGTATATATGTGTGTGTGTTTGTTTCTCAGAGACAGATTTATGAGGACATACTGTATGAGGTTGAGGATTAGGTCTTGAGGGACAGAAAGTATCCCATGATGTAGAGGTTCATGCAGTCCCACAAGCAGTCGTATTTCCTTTTCACCAGCGTGAACTGTGTTAACTGTGGAAACCCTCACATGGTGGCAAAAAAATAGTATTATACACGGCTAAGTGAGGTTGTATTACCAAGTTATACTTGTTGCTCAGAGCTCTTATTAAGGTTATTGAAAGTCTCCGCAGGTTGAGTTCAGTATTATGTATTTGGCCTGAGATATGATCCCAGAGACATGTGTGTCTTGGAAATGCTTTCTGTAACAAAATTCTGTACTACTTTTGCGGTGCTCTTATCTGTACTTGAGTACAACAAAAACATGTAACATAACTGATTAGTTAAAATCCAAGTACTATCCACACGATCACTTCTTATAGTTAGTGTATTTGCCCTCAATAAGATGTAACTGCACGTTTGGGTAGCTGCAAATAAAACATTTTGTTCAACATATAAACTCAGGTATATTGTTTTCTTTAATATTAAGTCTTGAATGTGGCAAATTTGTGCCCATTTTTCAGATTAATGTGGCTGTGCTCAGTTCCATTGACACAATATACAGTACATAGCTAAATAGAATAGTTATATTAATATTTACTACCAAATGAACTAATACTCCATGACGGTGTCGTGTCAGCATGAAAATGGAGTAAATACATTATAAGTAGGGGGACAAAACAACCACTTGATGCACATTTTAGGCTTTTCCCCACCTAATTATAGCTTGACTGTTTTAATGCTGATACTGATATAAAGTATTTAGGAGTTATGAAAAATATTCGATCCGATAGTAATATTTTTTTATACACATATATAGTTACACACGGTGAAGACGACATAGTACAGAGCTAATCAATGGATTTTGACAGCTGTCTGGTAGACATCATATATAATGATCATACTGTTTCTACACTGAAATTTCTTATCAGCCCCCATATTTAGCTATAGAGATATCTAAAGTAAATTCACAAGTTGACGAGTTTTTTGTTTATTGATTGAATCCTGGTTCTAATGTTGAGAAAGTCTGATGCACTGTAGCTTTAAACTGAGTGAAGTTTTGCTATTTAATTGCCAGAGTGAGGATTTTCTTTCAGAATCTCATTATGCTGGAAGGGATTTCTCATTACAAATACACAGTAGTATTTTGATATAATAAGGACATTTCTTATGAGGCTCAATCACTTCTGGTTATAATAGGAAATGGATCTCAGAAAATACTGTTCTTGTGTACAGATGGTAACCATCTTCTCAACTGAATCGAGCCTGTAAAGTTGTCAGCGTGGTCAAATGCATGTTAATGTTATGCCATCCATGTTGTAACACTCATCGCTAGAGCCAACTACTAAGGCACTTTACACATTGATGTCTGAATATGGTCGCATACCATTTCCAAAATTAGCACCAGTAAATGACAGCCACAATTATCAGGACTTTACTTGTCAATGTGCAATGAGGCCAAGAGCTGTCAGACTTGACTCAAATGTCTGGTAATACATGTCATTTGTTGTCAGTTTTCAAAAAGGATTAAACAAGGATTAAGTCCAATCCCAAACAGCTAACCTCAGTATGTATTTCCATCATTCCTAAGCCGTTCCTGTATGTTCAGTAGTTCAACATAATTTTACACCTCTGGATTCTGTTAAAAGAAATAACATTAAAAAGGGATGTCATGTTGATTTGGGTGTGCAAACTCTACTTTACCAATCGGTAATGCTTAATGAGCATGTGTACTGTTACAATTACTGATCTATGCCTAGAAAATGCTTTCTTGGCCCTCCCAATAGCCATGTTTTAGAGTAGCTGTAGCCGTCTGGAGCCATCTACACTAACATTGAAATAGCCTCACACATTCCCAAAACTTAATATCCGTATCTCCATGTGAGTAATGTAATGCTAGCCATGCGTGTGTCGTAGTTATTTACATACCAGACATGTATGATTCCTACTGCAGCCTCTGTAGTTTGCCACTTGTAGTATCTGTCATACACTAAGTCCCATGATGACACACATGTACGTGTATTCACACCGCGATGCAGCAGTCTGTGCTCTGCCTTTGGCTTTTGATGTTACCCCATTCATATCAATCACACATCCGGCTGGAACAGTTCAAAGGGAAGAGCTCCTTATAGCCAGGCATCGCATATGGGCACACTTAAGTAAACATGGCATTCTGTGTCATTCATCAGTGCCATTTAGGTTATTCATGTGTCTTATGTGCGTGCTGTGAAGAACATGCAAAGGTCATTATGTCTCTTTGTAAGCAGGAGGAAGTTAGGTTCCAACACAATCTACCCTTTGGCTTAAACATGCTTTTCAACATATCAGGTAAAATCTGTTGATTTACAGTAGTTTAAACACTACTTTCATGTCAAGTGCTGTGCAGTAGCTTAAGTGAAAGAGAATTAAATAGATGAATTGAAAGCATAAAAGACAGAGCTTGCAGTGACACTGTTCAACACTACATCTAGTTTGTAGAAATATAGAACATTATAAAGGGTTTACAAGGGTCTCACGACTTTATCTCTACCTACTGTCCTATACAGCAGCAGTCTCCAAATAACACGTTATAACAAATAAATAATAATAGTTTTTTTTTCTATTAAAAAAATTTCATAAATGAATAAAATTACCTTTTATTGCTAAATATGCATTATTTTTTTCTTCTGTCTCAATATTAAGTCTTTCTGCCTTTTCCAAAGATGCTCTCCAATTGTTTTTTTCTCTCATTTGGCAGCAGTTAGATTGAAGGGTTCGTTTCACGGCTGGGCATGAAAACTGACAGTCAAGTGCGAGAAACAAACACAGACGAAAGTGATGTGAAGATGAGCAAGTCATTTTACAAAACAAAACACCCTGCAGACTCTGCTGGAAATAAAGTTAAAAAATAAAACGTTTTTATTCTTTCTGTGTGCCCTGGTACCAAATGTGCCCTGCTACCGCTTTGCGGCCCAGTGGTTGGGGATCGCTGCTATACAGGGTTCCTATCCCTGCACACACTATGCAAGAGCCACAGCTCACCTTACGTTGCCAGTCTCTCACAGCAATATGCCACCTTTGCCTGATGAATAGACGGAATTGCCATTTCACTGCATTTCACATGAATTGCTGACCAAATCGGAGGTCTGGAACCGGGCAAATTCAGCTTGGTTTTGTTGACAATTTCGAAGGGAATGCTTTTGATCATCCGTCAGATGTTTTTCACTTCTAATGTCCTGGAAGTCTACACTTCAGCCTACAAATTTTCTGGATGAGAAAAATAAAATGTGTGAGAGAAGTTAAAATTTTGCTGATTTATTGTCACTTGCAGGGAGAGTTTGGGCCTAACCCTCAAATGCCTGAATAAATGCTGGCGGCCCAGTGCCTAGATAAGCTATATATTCAAATCATATTGCTCGCACAGTATTCTGCCTTATCCTGTGCACAGCCTGCTGTAACTTTTAACAGAGTGAAACACAACAAGCCCAAATTAGTCAGCATAGTAATCACTAATCACAGTCACGTGCTTGTGGTTATTGCGGGGTGGTTATTGCACAAAGCATGCACCACTTCACTGTCAAGGAGGCAGCTCCGGCTATTTGTGGGAGCTTTTCAGCTAAAGCGGATCTGATTCTGGACAAATTAGAGACTTTTAGAGGAATCATCAGCTCTTGGAAGTTGTAACAAGTCTTTCCTTTTCTCCTGCTGTAGCCAAAGCAGCTGGATGGCAGTGTTTTAACACGAGAGGGCATGTTCGTGAGATCATCTGGCTTACTAAATTGGAGACTTGGCCAGGAAATCTAGTCATAGCTGCTCATAATTGTGCTGTGAATAACTCAGTAGCCCTCAAGAAAGTCATTTTTGTAAATGTAAGCCTATGGAAATGACACAAACTTTTATAGTGATTTAAAATTGTATAACTGTGATTCCTTATCTGAAATGCTTTCTTTGTTTTGCAGGAAAGTGTGTCCCCCTGCAGTAGATCAGTAAGAAGTGCTCTTCAATATGAATACAGGTATGCACACAAAAACGCATGTTTAAGCTAAATATGAGACCGTTGGGGAGTCGTTCGTTCATCTAGTCCATGTCCACTATTTTTTGTTCAGCAGATTTGCATTTTTATTTTTTTATCCTGCACTTTTTCTTGTATTAAACTATTGTTGACATTTAGTAATTCAATGTAAATATTTAATGTTTCCGCATTGCAGGCCACTTAGTTGTTTTCTAGCTGCTGTATGTGCTACTTTTACTCTGCTACAGGCATGAATCTGTAACTCTAATCCTGATCCCGTTTCACCGCTCTGGTCGTGGTCCATTTTGGGCCTGAGGTATTGTAACTGAAAGCGTCAAGTATAGTAAGCCTGTTGCTTTTAACCACAGTTTCGTATTCTTCCGTCTACCCATTTCCAAAGCTCTGTCCTAAACTTGGCAGCCATCCTGAGCTCAAGTGTGTATTTCAGCCACAGAACCAGTGATGAGTAATCCATCACTGAACCTTCTCCACACACCGCTGCTCTTTGTGTCTGCCAGCAGTAGCTTGACTCATTTTGGTCAGTTGCCTGTATTTACAATATAAAAGACATCATAAAAATAGGGAAATTGTGACTCTAATGACCAAAAGAGCTCATTTGATGTCAAATAAAAATATGTTTATTGTCCAGTATCTAAAATTGTAAAGTACTGATCTCAGCTTTTGCAGAAGTGCAGCTTTTCTCAGGCCTCGCTAGGATGTGTTTGATTGCCAAGTTCTTCAATGTGAAAAATAGGACCAATATGCCAGGAAGCATTTGGAAAGAAAGTGTTTTACTTAAAGACACTACTATGGGGCGCTTTTTTTTTTCCTTTTTTTTTTAAGAACATCAAATAGGTATTCATTTTGGACTCTTGACTTTTTTTTTTTAACTATTAGGATTGTCATTTTCAATTATCACATTTGTCCTGCTACAACTGTGTTACTGTTACACCCACAGAAGCAGTGTCACTCAATTAAAGTGAATTAATTTATGACTGACTTTATCTGCTAACATAGATTTTAAGGTCAGTACAAACTAGTGCAACATACCAAAGCATCTACTTTAATTTGTTAAACTTTGTAATTGTGTTGTATACCAGTTTGGGGACAAATCCTGTGCTCATGTTCTATGAGCTGTCACCTCATACGCTACAGTAAAAATCAGCCCCTTGAAATGCATGTGCTTTCCCTCTACTTGGTTGCGTTATGCTCCTGGCTGGACGCAATTGTGTGTCATTGTTTACATGCATGTGCATGTGTGCTTCTGCTTTGCCTCTACGATCACCTGCCTGGCTGTGATTTCTCAGATAGCGGAGGATGTGTTCGCAAAAGTGTGGCCTTGTCACTCATACTCTCTCCCATGAAGAGGGTCCAGAGCTCACCAAATCTAGCCACAGGTACTAACACTCACAAATACACAAATTAACACATGTTGGAATAACAAAAGTTTACCACGTACACATTGACTGGGATAAAGTATTGGTCAAAGCACAAGGTAAGTCTTTAAAAAGTGGCTTTTCTTTTTGAAATCCTGTTTGGGCTTCATTAACCTGATATGAATTGAGCATATTTGAAATACTTTCAAATATGCTGTGGCTGCCTCGATATGCTTAAGCAAAGTCTGGACTGCGGGATGCTATCTTCTCTAATCAGTTCATTGTGTAATTGTTTTATTTCCTTTTGCTTAGTCTATTCTCTCTTGGACTTGTTTTGCCTCCAAAATCATCCATGAGTCATACCATACGAACCAGTTGTTGATCTTTCTTCTGTACTTCTCATGCTCTCACACTTCTCCATGTCGTCTCCCTCTCTGTATGTGTAGTTTTATTTCTGAGACATTTTTCCCTTGACCTGAGAACTGGGCAAATGTGTTCATATCCTTGGATGGACTTTGTTAACTAAAATGACTCTTTTTTGCTTAATTCTTTGTAATCAGTGTTTCAGTTTTATCACAGTCAAAGTTGATTCATTATACATTTAAATCCAGAAGTTTGGGAAGCTCAGGGTGCATTACATGCTTAGCTGATCTGTGGAGTGAGAAGAGGCAAATATTTCTGATGGAAATGTTTTGGCAACCTGTAGCGTATAGGGAGGAAATGTAGTTATTAAAACCAAAGCAGAAGTAGTTCTTGGTAGTTGCTAGGTTGTGGATGTCTGTTTTGATGGTTTCTAGTTATGAGCAAAGAGTTCACTTGTACTTGTAGAGATAAAGATGTTGGCACAGCAGATGATATTGTCTACTGTGTCACATTAGGTCTGCCTTATGCAACTACTTTTCTGTTCTGCGTTCTTTCCTGCACCTCTGTCTCTTCCTACCTTTGTTTATTCGCCTAATACATCACAGAGTCTACCTCTGTCATACCAAACATTCTCACAAGCTGCGAGCTTCCTTACATGTTATATGATGTAGTTGTATTAAAGTTTATTCCTGGGTTGTCATGTCACTTATTACTGCTGTGTCTTCTCTGTTCTCCAGGGAGTGATTCTCAGTCATCAGACTTGGGTAAGTTCCTGCTCCATTTGGTGACTGCTGGTGGATAATCATTTTTCTCTGTTTTTCTTATTGCACATGACAAAAGAAGCTATGAAACATCCCATATGACACCAGAAAACTTCTGCAAAACACACTGCAGCACATGATGTCAATATTATTAAATTTATCTCCAGATTCTTGGCGGTCACGCAGTGCAACAGACGGCCTTAAGAATGGAGATGCCAGCAGCTCATCTCTTGCTGCCAAAGGCTTCCGCAGTGTCAGACCCAACCTTCAGGACAAAAAGTCGCCCACCCAGGTAAAATATCGTACACACTAGACTAATAGAGTTAGACATTTAGCATTTTTTCTGTTTTACTGCTGTTTAGACTTTAATTAAAAATAATTATGTCATGTTGTGTTGTAATTTTGACTTGTTCAAAGACTCTGTGGAAAAAGTTTATCTTGAATGATGCCACAAAACTTCAAATCACAGATAATTTACACAGAACCATGCTGTTTTCTCGAGCATATATGTGGTACAGCGTCGTGATATCAAGCTTTGTGCTGATGATGTTTTTTTGTTTTTGTTGTTTGAACTTACATTGGCTGCTGCTTTCTAATTGGCTAACAAGGAAATCAATCCTCTGCCATTGCCACCCCCCAGGAGAGAGAGTTTTCACTTCTCGCCTACTGGCACTAATCCACCAGATTACAGCTCCCTCATTGCCCTGGCTAATGATTTGAGTCCCGGAATGCAAACATTCACTAAGAATGAGAAAGCAGTTTTAAAAGAGTCCTACACTGTTCGCAGCACATCTTCTTACTCCTACTCAGAGACCAGTGCAAACCCAGTCCGACAGCTAAATCAGTCCACTGTCCCAAATGACATCAGCAACTTCAGTGCATCTGCCACCACAAATACACAGCAACGTAAGGTGTCCTCCCTTAAGCTAACCCCTGTCACCATCCCTGACCCACCTGCTCACCTCAACTCTCATGCTGATCCCCAACCTACGACCCAGACCAAAGCTTCCCCTCCACCCACTCCCCCACCTCCACAACGAGGTCCCACCCTCTCTCACCCCCTGACACAGACAGCTTCACTTTCTGTCCACTTGGGCACAGAGAATCAGAAAAATCCAGCGCCTCTGGCATCAAAGACCACCACAGTGGAACCCAAGGTGCCAGATCAAGGTCCAAATCAAACCCCAACTCCAGCTCCATCCCTGGTGGAGATGACAAAGCCTCCTCCTGCAATTCCACCAAGACCGTCGCCTGCACAACTGTTGGTACATAACTGACGACATACTGTAGCAACAATGTGAAATACAGAAAGGTCATTGCATTGCAATTACTGGGTTTATGTCTTGGTGACATCAAGAGTGATTAAAGGAGTTACACACCAGCTGCATCATACCATTTGGTGCCCAGAAGAAATAGTCAAGTCACTGTAGCTGGGTTGTGCTAAATTCAGACTCCAAAAGTGCTAAAATTGCTGTTTTTCTGCTGTGTTGAGTCTGACAGTGTGACACTGGCCTTACTTAGAAATAGGCACAAGTATTTTGTTGCACATTGTCTGCTATATGCGTTTGTTTCCCTTTGGTTTGTTAGACTTGATAATGCTGTCCAACCGACCAAATGTGATTCTACATTTGTGTGCACTTGTACTGTATGTGTGATAACAAAGTTTTTAATTGATTGTATACCACATTTACTGTCCGTATAATCTGTTCCCTTCCACAGAGTTTGCACTAACTGAGCCTCTTCAATTCACAGCATTAAGCATGTTTCAGAAGATGATGCTGCAGCCTCATGACAGTGTGGTTTCACAACAGCATTTCACCTCACATGTTACTTCCACACATCCCTTTTGACAACGTGGCTAATAAGTGATATCACTAAGCACTCTCCTCCTTTCCTCCTTTTCATATCAACTCCCTCTTACTCCAACACCAGGGGCCTCCCTCCCCTGACCCCACAGCACGGCACTCCCCCTATCGCTGCCACAGCTCAGAGTCACTCGACTACCTGTCAGGCCTAATGCCCAAGGCCCTATCGCCAACACCGTATGTTCCTACTGGAGCTGGCGTCGCAGCTGGTGCGGTCAGCGGGCCGAGCCTTACCGCAGTCAGCAGCGTGAGCATCGGTGGCTGTGTGTCACCCTCCGCTTCCCCTGTGACTGTGTCGGCTCTCAGCCACTACTCGTCATCCACGGCGGGTCTGCTGGACGAGCTGCAGATCTGTAGCCTGGACTCACCTGGCGCCTCACCCACGCCATCGCCCACTCTCAGCCATGTCTCTGCCTACACATCCACTGCTGGCCCTGATGATGTGCTAACAACTTCTGTGGCCTCCACTGCTGCAGCAGCCACTGTCACTAACGTAATTATCCAAACAAGTCACCTCTGTAACACACATCATTACCAAGAACAAATGGTTCCCACCCTCCCTCCACTCATTTGGATGGCTGAACCAAACCTCCACAATGTGTGTGATTACTACCAAATTTTAACTTTCACTAACCATCGACTACACCCTACCTGTTAGATACCAAAATTAAATCCAGCCCACGTTGTTCTGTTATTATGTTAATGTGTCTGTACTCATTACCGCTCCGTCTATGTGTGCCTGTTTCTCTTTGTTATGCCTTTTTTTTTTCTTGCAATCCTGTGCAAATACACCGTCTCTTAAGGCCAGTTCATATCAAAAATTCATGATGTCATACAGTCATTTTTCCAGTCAGCTGGCAGCAGAAATACCCTGGTGAAAGCTATTAGCTGCAGGTTATTAGCATCTTAAAAGACTGAACTCTTGCAGGGGAATATGGATTTCTTTTTTTGTTTTGTTTTTTTCTTTTCACAATGTAACATGCGTCAGGACTGTAGCTACCTTGGGAATAAATGTGAGGTACCTGGAAAAATAAATAATCTAGGTTATGGCATGAATTTGCATGTGCATGTTGCGATCCCAGTTATACAAGACTGATATTAAAACTGGATATTCGCTTAGGGCTGCATTATTTCATCTGACATTTGCCAAGAAATTAGGTACCAGTCAAAATTGCCTTGCATTGTCACTGTTTACTGCAAGCCTTGAGACTTCCATTTTCCATGAGAAATATGTTGTTCTATCACAGATTCTCACCTCGAAAGATGCTGATTAACCTGGTTGCATCTGTAGTTAAGAAGTTATACAATTACAAGAGCAACATCAGACTTTTGATACCCTGAACATAATATGAGAGTCAGAGTTCTGAAACTATATTAGTTTAATCAGCCTCAAGCCCTTGGTTTTAGTTCTTTAGCTATGGCATCATAATCAGAGTTACAGTGGCATTATTCTACTCACTCTCCAAGTTAGAACTTATTGATATACTAGCAATTATGTAGACAGTAAATAGAGTATGAGTGTACCTTTAATATGAAGTGATCCATTTTATTTTTGCTTTTTTTTTTTTTTTTTTTACTGTAGTCATTTTTGTTAACTTGATTCACCATGAATCTTTGGTGTGAACATGCAAGCCTTAAAATGAAAATGCATTGTTTTTTATTCTTTGTCAGATGAAGTCATTTCTTCCTGCGTCATGTTGAATGGGAGAGCATTTTCACAGAAGAGCCTCCCATTCTAAATATATCTTGTCCACCGTCTTGTTTATGTCAGGCGTTCACGTCAACTAATTTATACTGAGGTATAAGTGAATGTGAAAGAGTTGTCTGTGTTTACTGTTGCTGTTTTAATCTTTTCCGTTTGTTTTGAAGTGAAGTGGTTCATTAAGTGCCCCTTTCCTTCACTAACTGTTATTACATTGCACAGTCGCTTCAGATTCAGCACCTCCCGTGAATCACACCAGATCAAATATATGTGTACATGTCCATCCATTCCTATATCAGACCTGGTTCATCTACCCCTATAAATGCTTATAGCAGTTTAGTGACTAATGTTGGATTTATAGAACTAATCATTCTGTTGGTAATTGTTTTTTATATCTGGGTTATGTCTGGGTTCTATGTTTTAGATTTACAAGATTGTTGTGTATTTTTTGCTGTAGTTGTGTTTGCTTGTGTCTTATTGCCCTTGTTTTTGGTTTGTGGGTCACTCCTAGGGCCAGGTCCTCTCTCACGCTATGAATGGAAGCACTAGCCATCCACAAAGGCCCCTGTCCCCCCCATCCTATCCTCCACCCCCTGTCTCGCTCCACACTGGGCTCCAGAGACAGAGCAGGAGTTCAGGTGAGTCACTCTTCTTTTGTCACTTTGTTTGCACCAAGGATACCTGGACGTTTGCCAGGAGTTCTTCGGTTATGTCACTGCTTACGAAGACTCAAGTACATGAATAAGGAAGTAATTGCACTGCATTGAAAAAAGATGAACTGTTTGGTTACATCCTACATTCAATTCAGAACGTATGACAGAAATGGAAAAAAGCAGAAAACACATGACATAAAATTAGGCAAATAATTGATTTATAAAATTGCAGAAAGTCTAAATGAGAATCAGAATTGGAGTTGGGCTTGACACATGACCTGAAGTTAGAGAAACAAATAAACCTCTGTCAGTTGTATAGTGCTGAGAATTTGTAGAATGTGTAAATCTATAAAGGACATCTAAAATTATGGAGTGTCGACATTTCTATTCTCATCATCTCATTTCTCACATCAGTTAAAGAATACAGTATTCTTTGTTTACAGTCAACATACTAAGTAAGGTTTGCAAAATATGATATTTATATTGTTTGGGAGAAGACTGAATCGTTCAATTATGGAGGACATGTTTCTATTTCTGGGAGTGACTGACGTGTGTCTCTTCTCGCTCCTCTTTCTTCTTGTTTGTAGAGGGCAGCGAGTCAGTCACCAGAGAGTCCATGGTGTCAGGCCACACCAGCGTCAGCAGCACTGTGCCCATCGCCCGCTTCTCAGAAGAAGAAAAGAAGGTGTCTGTCATTAAAGCCCCACATTATGAAGGCATTGGCCCTGTGGACGAGTCGGGTATCCCTATTGCCATCCGAACGGTGAGGTTAATCATTCACAGAGCTAAATTCGTAACTTTGCGACAGATTGCTTCAGTTCAGTACTATAGTGTAGCACACAAGTGTCCCTTTTCTGCCGTCTTGGTATGATGATCAGGAACTCGAGAGAGATTACTTTCAGCTGTCGGCAGCTTTTGACCCCATATTAAAAGCCCTTTCTCTCTCTCACTCTGACTATCTCAGTATCTTTTATTCTTCCTCTGTGTGCTAGTTATAAAAATTAGCTCGGACAAGGTGCTTTAGTGCTGGGAGGGCCTTGCTGATTACTTGTCAAAGTGTATGTGCCAGTATGTTACCGCCAATAAAGCTTTCCGTGTATTAACACTTCACCCAGTTATCCGTTAATGGAAGAGAAGCATTTTAAGACAGACATGTTAAACTACAGAATAAGAGAAAGAGAAACAGGAAGAATGAGAGACGAGCAATAAAAGCAAAGAGAAAAGTTGAAAAGAGGGGAAAAAAGCAGGAAAGAAGAAAAACAGATGCTCCTTGTTGTCAGCAGACAAACATTTTTGTGGCCACTCTTTTTGGTAACCGTGGAGAGTGAAACGGTAATTGGCCCGTCGCTTTGCTGTGCCAATGCTACATGCACAGTCACACACACTCCTTCACTGTGGAGCCAAACTGCCTCTTCTCTGACCAGAATCCAGACACAGTGTTTAGTGCTACTGAATAAAGAGAGGATTAAGTCTCTCTGCCATTTGATAGGTCTTTTTTGAAGTAGCTGTTAGATCTATACTGTTTACACAAAGACACACATACCAGGGTTTCTTCTGGACGTTCCAGGCACAGCAACAGGAGCCTCTACTTTGGTTTTGTAGCAACGTGGCTTCCACACCTGAATAGTGAAAACCAAACCTGTTGAAGTTGATGTCTGAGAGTATCACCTTAACACACAAAGGCACTAACACCAAAAGAAACTGCCATAGTAGTTTATCAAGTTACTGACTTTAGGGTTATTTCGGCTGTATGTTTGCATAATGTGACCATTTAGTATGTTAAAATTCTGATTTCTTTTTTAAAAAGATGAAGCATTCTGTGTTTTCCACCTCTTTGTTGTTAGTAGGCAATATAATAGACCGACCAAATAACACTATAATTTCTTATTGTCATGTTATACAAAGAATAATTAAGGATTTTGATTTTAAATTACACCTATTTAGCGTCTAACAACAGATAATTCAACAATTAAAAAAAGCTATACAGGATTATAACATTGTTTTACCACCCAGATGTTAAAGATAAGAAGTGAGAGATCCATGCATCCACTTGTAAGACTTGTTTCTCATTCAGTTATAGTCACTGAGTTGAATCGATTATGTATGTTACTGAGACATGTTAAATTCAATTGTCTTATAATATTTCTAATAATTCTTGACAAGATCATTTGCTTTGGATAAGAAAGATATTTAGACTTGAAATCATCCTTTTTTTGACTGAACATGCAAATTATGGAGTGTCCTTCTATGAAATATTTATAAATAATCTATCAATGTATCACTGTGATAGGTTGAATTTTCTGTGAGTGAAATACGAATGCCGACAAAAGCTAAATGTGTTTTCTTAGCTCACTGATGTCCTATAAAATAGTGGGAATCTTTTATAGTTTCTAACTGTCCATTTTATTTTTATGGTTATTTCTTTCTCCACAGACGGTGGATAGGCCTAAGGATTGGTACAAAACTATGTTTAAACAGATTCACAAAGTCCACAAAGCAGGTAAGGCTGTACCGAAGCACACTGACAGACTGAAAAGTCCCATTATGTGCTGTGATTTGATTATCCAGCGTTTTGAGTGGAATTGGTTATGTATGCATGCTGCTTGTACGCGTGTGTGTATCTTTGTGTGTCTGTGCATGCCAGTTCTTATTAAACCAAAAGACCCAAACAGCCTCAGAGCCAGAGCTCATTAGATGCAAGCAAGAGAGTCTGCAGAGGAGGAGGAATAGAGAGAACTCTCTAATAGACACAGAGCTGTCCTGGGAAATCTGCTCTAATTTTGTGGGCTTGACAGAATCACACAATTAGTACAAGGCTTGTTTGTTCTAAACTGCTCAGGCTTCTTTTGCAACAGCACATACTAACACTCACACACATACCCTCACATACACAGACTATTTCATGATTGCTTGTGCCCTAAAGTCACCTAAAGACTTTTGATGTGCATCTTAGAGAATTCCCATGGCTCTCACATATTTACATTGTCTAGCTGACTTACAATGCAAAACCTAAGTACCATCTAAAATTTGTCTTAGGTTGTGTTTTCTACTGTGAAATTGACAGGTGGCTCTGAAAAGTGTTTAGTTTCTTGAAGCTCAACAAAAGACATAAAGCAAATGTTTGGAACATGCTGGACTTGTGGAGGGACAGAAGAGAAGTGATTCATGCTTCTTTGTTGGTTTTGCTGCTTTCTGCTGTGAATAATGAACAGGATTGGAAATTCCTTTGTAACTGTGTTTTCAAGCTGACTGAAGATGCTGTTCTGAGGACAGAAATACAAGCTTGTACCCTTTGTTCTCAAAAGTGTGCTCGTGCATGTATCCCAATGAGTCTTTGTACTTTCTTCTTCAGATGATGACTATTCTGACACATACAGTGCAGCTTATGCTGTCATAAACAACGGTGAGACCTGCTTTTTGCCTAACAGAAGTTGTGTTTCATACAATAAGTCATTTTTTCCCAACCCACATCTCCTCCTTTCTGTCTTATTTCTTTCTCCAATGTTTCCTCCATCCTGTCCTGAACAGATGACTACAGCCTGTCCTCCAGCACCACCATGGCCCACCCAGCTCCTCGGACACATACCTACAGGCCTCTATCTAAGAGCCCTTCAGACAACGGAGGCCATCTGGGGTCTCAGGAGCCTTCGCCATCCCCTGTACCCCCACCGCCACCACCCATGCCATCCCTCCTCCAACTGAGGGCCAATGAGAAAGATTCAACAGACATGTAAGAGGAACTGCATTTCACCTCACTGTTAATGAGATACTACCCTCGCATAATGAGACCATTCTGCAGCCAGCATCTCGTCATCATTCTGCTATGGAGGGAGGAAATGCACTGGCTTGTTTGTATTTCTTTAAATGAATTACAATCATATTGAACAACACTAACACAAACATGCAGTGACGGTGATCCCTAAAAATAGCGATGGGGAAACATTTGCACTCAGGGAGGTGAGCACTGTCATTAAAGTGGCTGTTTCACCTAAACACACTAGCAGGGCTGTCTGCTGCCTCAAGGTTGTTGTTATTGTTTCTCATTGTGAAGAGCATTTTGAAAATGGTAACACATAGTTAGTGGAGGGGGAGAAGAAAGCCTTGTAAAATGTACAACCAGTGGCAGGCTTATACCCGCAGTCTACATCTGGTGAGTCAGACTAATGCAATAGTGACTCTTAATATATAACAAAACAAAATTGAACCCCTCTCTCCACACCTTGTGTATACACTTATAAATAGGATGCTTTATTGATGTTATAATTATTATTGACATTTCTAAAGATTTTGTTTTGTGTTTAGAGCTCACTTATGAGCCAACTTCAATCATCAAATTCAAAATTATGCAAAAAAAAATGTATGTAACCAACAAAGCGTCCAACTGTTTTCTGAGAAACTTCTTTTTTTTTTTTTTTTTACCTGCACCAGGAATGAATGGGGTCCTCCTGACCGGAAAGTGGATACGCGAAAGTATCGCGCAGAACCCAAGAGTATTTTTGAGTATGAGCCTGGGAAGTCCTCCATTTTGGAGCATGAAAGACCAGTGAGTATTACTGAAAACCACTGTTTCACTTGTATTTACTGAATTCTGACATTTTTCTCTTCAAATCCTTTGAAAATTGCTGGTTTCACACTGGCATCGTGTGAGAACAGATGACAGGTGAAGTGATTTCTTTGTAGTGCCTCCTGTTGTTAACTGAAAGATTCATTCTGTTGCTGCTCGGCTTCGCTTTGGAGCTGAATAGAAAACCTGTTCCTGAAGAGATAAACAGCTAAATATTAGGCAACATTATGGGCAATAATGCTGCAGAAATTCAGCGACAAAAATAACTGGATGGTTGGATTGAAAGAATAGTCACGAAAATATATACCTTTCTTACTTGTTAGTCTGGTAGACATTACTATGCTGGTAGATTATGGCCTTTGGCATGGTGCTCCTTCTGTCGGAGACGATGTGGGCGTTAAAAAGCGAATGTTTTCAGTGCCGCATCCTCTAGTGACTTCACTGGCTGCTTGTGTGGGGTGAATGACAAGGCAGGCAGCAGAGAAAATTACTTTGTAGAGGGCCAGGACAAAAAATAATAGACATTAGGTATCACAGATAAAGACAGAATAATGAAGAACATGCTACAGATGGGGAGCCTTTGCAAAAGGGCAAGAAGGAAAGCTTTTTGTGAAGGTTTCACAGATTTTTAATGCGATGACTGCAGAAAGTGCTCCCAGGGCAATAATGCATGAGTCAGTTCCTGATAGACAGAGGTAATAAAAAAGAGAAAGCTGTGGAGTGAACCCACGCGGACTAATCTGCTGTCTGTTCAGTACCTTTTTCTCTCCATTACCCAAGGCAAGAAATGTCACCCTAAAACTTTGTGTTCTATGGCGAAGCGGCCATTTGGACAATTATGAGCAAAAATATTTTTTCTGGCACTCTCGTTCTTTCAGGGGTTTTTTTTGTGTGCGTCTGTCAATTGTAATTGTGTGGTTGGCAGTGTCTGCTCCAGGCCTCCTCACTTTTTAACAGGGTGACTCATCTTTCTGAAAACTGTATTCTCTGAGATGTAACACTACAACACCTACAAAACATCTCCTGGCAGGGTTTCATTTGGCATAAGAAAAAAACAAAACTGTATCTTAGTGTGGGAATAGGGTTAGAAAGAGCAGACAGAGTGGTAAAACACTGACATATCTACAGTTAGAATATTAGTAAAATTCTTTGAAAATAAGCCTGTTGACTGTGTGTAAATGGACACAAATAGATGAAGCTATGCTTTTTGTTTAAGCTTACAACAGCAAAGAGCAGCTGATTAACTTGCTGCACAGTGGTAGCCAGTGTCTTGGCACGCTGGTCTAATTTGTTGCATGAAAATATATATCATGTCATTTTATTACAGGCTAGGTTGATATGAAAATGCATCGCTCTGTGACACAAAGGAAGAGCGGGATATTATCTCTCATGTGACATCAACAGAGATGACCTTCCACTTCCTGAAGGCACTTGGTCCAACATGTACAAGTCATGCATGCAGAGTATTGCAGGACACACTATGTTTGACCAATAATATTTTGTATTTAATAAGGCAACACTGTGTGGAAAAAATATGCAGCTAAATCCTGAACTCAAATGGAACATTTGTAGATCCACATTTACAAGTATCTGCATTGTGAGACATTGTGGGTTAAATGTTAGTAAGTTTGACTACAGGAGGATAATGTGACAGATTTGTGTCACAAGACAAGTTTATTTGTTCAGCACCATTCAACAACCAGACAATTCACAGTACTTTATGTAAGACATACTATAAAAACACATTCAAATGTTCAAGAAACACAAGGTGATATAAAAAGTTCTTTAACAGATATTAGAAGAAAAAGAATACATTCATGTTCTTTACTCAGAAATATGAACTTCAAAGACAGTGAAGTGGTTCATGGTGCTGTCCTCTCATAATGTTTTGTTTGCTCTCTAAGTTATTTAAAAAGGCACAGAGCAGCACAAAAAGCATGGTCACTATGTTTACCCCGATGAGGTATTTTACAGTTATGATTAGGAAAAATGTGACACTTAGCCTGAGCCCCATTTGGAGTAGAGTGTGGCACTCAGCTGGCTGACTGCGGTGCCATGCTACCGCCACCGTCCTGTAGAAGTGAACCTCTCATGGTAAATGGGTTCTGTGTCGTCGGTTGTTCCCATGAGCCAGTCAAAATCTTCATCCTGGTTCATTCTGTGTCCATCTCCCTGTGCCACCTTTGCCCATTCCTAACCATGAGGTCCATGTCTCTCTTTGTGTGTGACTCTTTTCCACACTTCCTTTCTTCTGTCTTTTTCTACTTCTCCTCTCTGTCACTGTCATGCTTTCTCAGACCTATGATGACATAGATTTAGAGAACGAGCCTTGGTATAAGTTCTTTTCCGAGCTGGAGTTTGGGCGGCCGGTAAGTCAGGGCCTAGCTATTCCCCCAACCACAACCCTGCCATAGGCATCCACCCACTTTCTCCACCCCACCCATGACTTTTTTTAAACGTCTACACCATTAGGCTGGGTGGGGCTAGTTGTTTGGGCATGTGGTACTTGTTTGGTGCTGTGACTTCCCCCCTCCCCACACGCACCCTTGTGACAGGTTGTGATATGTCTCTGTGTGGCTGGGGTTTTTGGTCTGGTGACTAGCAGGCACTGAAATGTTCATACACAAACCTGGACACTTTTATTTCAGTTGGTTCGTTTTTTCATTTTGTCCAAAAAAATACACAGGAAAAGTGGTTAAGAGGCAGTGTGCTCCAGATTTTTACATGACCTGACTTCCAGGCTGGTAAAACTACACAGAACAGTCAGTCAGTAAATCATAACTTTAACAGATATCCTTTACTAGAAGGCAACTGGAATTGTCTTTTTGATTTATAAAGATGTTTTACCTCTCATTGAAGAGGCTTCTTCAGTTCAGAACTTTGATAGGAGGTAAAATGTCCTCAAGAATCCATCAGCTGAAGCACTTTGGATTGTCATGGCCTGGATGACTGAGGATCTACACAGACATATCAATAAACATGCAATGAATTATTTTCTATTGATATATTTTATCATTTTGCTATAGCAATCACTGTCATAAGAAAACTGTCTGTGCAGTTTCTTCAACATCAGAGCAGTTCATCAAACTTGTATTTAGCGTGTTTATTCATTTGATCATGTATTCATGCCTGCTAGTACTTTGTTTATCTCCACTTTGTGTAGTATGGAGGAATGCTCTGCGTGTCTACAAGCTAAGGCTTTAGTGCCCTCTGCTGGAAGTAGGTGGTAATAATGTCCTTGTGGCTTCGGGAAGGGATTGCCTCTAGCCACAGATGTGAGATCAAATTACCCCAACCTGACTGATTTACAAAGTGTCATGAGGACATGCCTCTGTCCATGCTAGCGCATGACATCAGGTGATGGCTTGCTGGGCTTATTTGAAATGTTCAGGTGGAAATTTCAGATATGGAGCTGGCATGGCTTTTTGTCATCTCAAAGCTACGTTCAGCTGTGTGTTGAAATTTTTACCTGCAACATTTTCAATGTTTCACATCACTGAATAAGCCCTTAGAGTGTAGATGGTTTCCTTACGTGCACTGACTGATCCAGTGGGGACAGAATCTCACACTATGTTCAGTGTTTGAGTGTAATTGAGGTGACAAGTCACAATATGTTCTGACCAACAGATTGAGCACTAGTTTATTTGCACTGGTAAAATACTAAATCACAGCATCTGATAGTGCAGTTTATTGCACTCTCAAATACTCAACACTGCAGCCTGCGCTTCACTTGGCTTTCAGCTTACAGCTTGTTCTTACACTCTGCATGTGTGTGTGCTACGTGGGTGCACTTGTGTGAGTATGTGTTTGTGGTATAAAGGTTGATGTGGTAGCATTACCAACCTGTGGTTTCAGTTTTATTCTGAGATTAGCCTAAGAACAAAGTGTCAGCAGCTGACATTAGAATGTGGTTGTGAAGGAATATGTAATGTGTGTAGCTGTGTGCGTGTTTGTCAGTAAATGCTTGTTAGTGTGTATTGAGTGAGTGCACATGTGTCCATTGTACAAGTAAAGCACATGTGCAATACTTGTGAACTAGTCCATCTCTGGTTACTCAGAGTCTCTAACGGGTGTCACTTTCTCCACATGTTTCTTGTTTTTTGGTTTCTCCCCATGATGTCACAACTGCTTCTCCTCCTTCACCTCATCTTCACCTTCCTCCTATTCCTCCTCCTCCTCTTCTCCTCCCCTTCCTGCTCACTGCTGCTGCTTGGGGCTCAAGCCTCCTAAAAAACGGCTGGATTATAATCCAGACATCTCCGCTCGCCAGCGCATTGAGGTAATCTCACATTCATGAGTGTTCCAGTTGTGTTGTTAATCTCACAATTTATCTTCTAACCAGTCACAAGAATCAAAATCTAGACTGTTAAGAGAGATATAAAACATAATTGCCTTAATCTTATGCAATGTAGTGTAGCACGAACAACATGCCGGCCATTTACTGGAAGATCAGTGAGATGTTGCATTGTGAAGCTTTTCTAACACATAGCCTTGAAATGCTATCTGTCTGTTCACTTGGGAATGCATGAAAATCTGCTGAATGTACTATATAGAATAAAGATGCAAGATTTTTAAATCATTTTCTGCTTAAATCTTTTTTCTGATGAAATTAAGATTGAGATATCTTTTTTTTTTTCTTTTTGGGCTAAAGATTTTGTGGAAATCTTTTTTCTGTTTCCTGCCTTATTGTGTGATTGGAATTGATGATCAGCATTTTGCACTTCACTTTTGCAGTTAAGAGCATGAAAATGTGTTTACTGCTAAGACCCATTCCAGATGATCCACGCCAGGTTTTGCAGGGCAACATTTGCCCCCTGAGCTGAGCTCAATACATCTTCCGATATATCACCTTTGCCATCATCCAGCAGCAGCCTAAAAGAGACCAGAAATTTCTCTTCAGCGCGTGCAGCAATAGGCCTCTTCGTGGTCAGGTGTGCCATGTGGAACCAGCATCTATCGCACCTTACGCAGGGGGAGTGTTTTGAGTGTGGCACAGCAACAACCGCATGCAGGCTGTGCATTGTAAGCTGCTCTGCCCCAAGTCTTTGTTCGCGCAGCGCTCACTTTTGTCTTTTGTTGTCTGCCCAATTTCAGACATCTCTTCACATCGCTCCTGCTGACAAGCCTCCAGAGAGACCTGCAAGGTAACTGCTGTTTCTTTTATTTTCTTCTGCATCAGCTCCATCCCCCTCCCCCATCCTCTTAACAGCAGTCGTCCTTGTTGTGATTCAGCATAGTATCAAAACTCGGCTCTGTCTTGCCTTGTCTCTGGTGCAAATATCCCGTGTCTGCTAATAATGATGACTTGCAAGGATTAGTGTTGGTCTTTATTTGCTTTTGTCGCTGATGACAGGACGCTTTGCTTCTCCTTCTCACTAGCTGAGCCAGAATAAATTAACCCAGCCAACCTATTGATTCTGCCCTTCACCTCCTATCCTTCCCTCAGCCCCCCTCTTCCTCCCCTCGTCCCGCTCCCTTTCAGCAATGGCCTGCTTATTCAGTCGCATTTTCTTCGGTGAATAGAAAGGGCAGAATAGGGATGTGATGAATAAGCCATGTAATTCATGTAAGGGACATTAAGTGTGTTTGTTCTGAATAGAAATCCCACATAGGTTTTTTTTTAGACATTTTGAAACAGAAAAGTTGCACTAACTGCTGTACTGAACACAAGAATAATTTACAGATTTTTATTAAGATGCTCATGGAGACACTTAAAATGTGTTCAAGGATTTCAAAAAGTGACATTCTCTTGTGACTGTAAATGATTATTAAAAAACATAAACATCCCTGATGTTGTAACACAAAGTCTTTTGGTCAGCAGTAGCAGAATTTGTACTATCAATTTGTCCCAGCAAGGTTCAGAAAAGAGGTAATTAAATAAACAATTTGCTTGGTTATAATTTAATAGATGTTTTGCTATAATGAGTTTGTAAGTACTGATGACACTGGAAAGATAGTAAAAAAAAATGCACTCACAAGATATTTATAGTGCCCAAATTTAATTTGCTGTCTGCAAAGTGCATTCACTAGTGTACAGTGCTCTGAAAATGATCGTCTGTGTTCTAGCGCTGCCAGCGACTACAGGAAGAGAAGGAAGTCTGAGCCGTCAAGTTCCCAAGTGAATGCCCAGTCTCAGAGCAGAGCTGCAACTTCCCCTAAACCAGTGGATGCCTACAGACCCAGCAGCAGCTTAAAGAAACCTGTCATTCGTTCCTCACCATCCTCACCCTCGAGAGCCAAAGGTACACAAACATATACAGAAGCATAGCTTTTGCTATTAATACATTTTTTGTCTCTCTGTTTTTCTTTTTCCCTTCTTTTTCCTGGTCTTACATGTGTACTGTTCTTATCACACCACCAGAAAATCTAAGATTTTGGTGTCTTTTTCACAATATGGTGTCTGATTGATGTGATCCTAAGTTCATCGATTGTGGCAGTCTGAAGAAAAAAGCCTTCATTTTCCCACCCTTTTCTCTCCTAATTATTCTCCCTCTCCCCAGCTCTTGCACCCTTTTGCTGGGTATTATTGCTTAACCTGCTTTCCTCCTTCTTCTCTTTTACCACGCTGCTCTGTATTGGACATCTGAAAGGTGGGGACGCATGCAACATGTATTCAAACAGTTTGACCTCCTCAGGTCCTTATCAGCAGCCCTTACTGCCCCCTGTCCCTCCTGACCCTGTCCATTGCCACGAGGACGCCAACCAGGAAGGCAACTCTTCCTCAAGACAGTCCGTCTGCTGTAAGAACAGTTGGAAGGGAAAACATCGGGATGCTGAGACATGGAGCAGTGCCGAGGAGGTGCCACCCTCCCCTGGCAAGCTCAAGTCACGGAGTTGTGATGACTTACTCAATGATGGGCATACTGGCTCAGGTGGGCGCAATGCCACCCGCTCAGAAAGCGCCGGGTCATTGGTGTGTGACGGGATTCCCTCAACAGCATCAACCTCCACTCGTTCACTGCCTCGGCTCCACCGTCGACGGGCACATGATTCACCGGGCTTTCTCCAGCTCTATCGTAAGATGCACCAGATTGATCGAGCTCACCTCATCCCATCTGAAGTCATCCGCTCAGTCCGTGCTCGCATCCTGGAACTAGAGCGCCAACCTCATCTGCATCGGCATCGCCTCTCTCCTTGGACACCCTCTTGGGGTGTGGAAGTGCCACGTGATATGGTGCCAAACCGAATTTCTGAATATGAACGTCTTATTCAGAAGTCCAAATCCATGCCAAACTTGGGTGACAGTGAGGTGCCTTCAGGCACCACCACACCAGGCGGCTCATCATCTCGAGCTAGCAGTGGTGGTGGTGGCACACCCAGTTTTCCAAAACGCCGCTTTTCTATAGAGTCTTTACTAGAAGAAGACAACAATGGCAACAGTGCAACCGCACCTCATACCATGGCTCATTTGCATCGACCTCGTAGCCCACCTGAGGGCCAGCCTCGTGTTGGGCCAGAGCCTGGCCGTGGCCGCTCCTTTCCTGCTCCTCCAGTTCCCCAAGGCCCACAAGCCAACCCCGACTATTCAGACAGCGAACAAGACGCTGTTGCATCTGACCTCAGTGATTTCATCCAGGTGGAGGGCTCCTCATTTTGCAGTGAGAGTGACTTTGACCATTGCTCACTAACCTCCTCTGAGAGCCTGTACGGCTCTTCCACCCTTCACCATCACCACCTCCGTCATCACCACCACCATCACCACCATCATTCTGGTCACCAAAGTCTCAGCCAGACCCAGGGCTACCAACACCGCCACCTCATCAGCACCTGCAAAGGCCGCTGCCCAGCCTCATATACCCGTTTCACAACCATGCTTCGCCATGAGAGAGAACGAGCGCGGCAGGAGCACCAGAGACCTTCACAGCAGAGCCGCAGCAGCCATTCCCAAATCCAGAGCTCACAGTCCCAGCAAGCGATGTCCAAGCTGGCCTTCTTAGTCAGCCCAGTGCCTTTCCGCAGGAAAAAGGGCTCACCACCTACCTCCAGAAGAAGCAATGGTGGCGGAGGTCGAGGTAGCAGACCCAAGTCCAAGCAGGCCATTTATGAAGCACTAGATGCGGCCTTGAGAGACATATATGAGCACATTCAAGCAGAGAGAGGCCACAGAAACACTAGGGCACCTGATGATAGCATCCTGAGGAGAATCCTGGCTGAACTGCTGCCAAATGTGCCTGAACGAAGCTCCTCGTTGCGGGGGAGGAGAGGGTGTTGGCACGGGGGTCACTCCTCTGCATCTTTGTACCCGGATGGGAGCCCCACTGGGTATGCCTCATATAGAGGGGAGCCCTCCACACCGCGGCTACAGTCACCGATCAGTGCCTGTTACGGACGACACTTGGAGACCTCAAACAATAATGAATATGGAGAGGATCAGGGCAATGGAAATGGTCTCTGTTATTCAGGTGGAGATAATACACATATTACACTTTAAATACACTCTCATTCACTTTTTATTGTGGTCGGTCATACCTACACATTTTTGCACATGCATGTAAACGTACATAAATACATGAATACAGGTGTGCATCCACATACATTCACTCCAGTGTCTCTTTCAGTCCTGCCTGCGCTTGCTGCCCAATCCTCCTCATTGGTCTGCAGACACTTTTATTACTGTGCTTTTCCTTTTATTTATAATGACATTCATTAAGACCCATTTACTGTAAATTCTCAAGTAAAATCTGGCCCTTTGTTTGTTCTATGTAATGTCAGTGAAACTAAACACTCCCTGCTTAAAATGTGGAGTTTGATTGAAATAGGTGCATAATGCTGAACAAAACGGCGGCAAACTGCAACCTATTGGAATTTAATAATGAGGGAGAACAATATAAGTGGATAAAAGATCAGAGCAACAGAGTGGTCCTGTAAGTAAGACATGAAATTTTTATTGTGCTGGTGGAAATAGGAAATTATACAGGAGCAGTTCAGAAAACAGAGGTTTCTCAAGATACTAAGAATCCCGTACAGATAATACAGGAGATTGTATCAAATAAAGGCCCAGTTTTCTCTGCCATTGAGAAAAAATATTTGAGAATTTACAGTGTATTACTCTGGTTGCAACCCTGTCTCCAAGGAATTAGCTTTCTATACAAGTACACTGGTTTCCCAGTTACTTTTGGGTGTAGCATAATTACTGGCTGTATGTTGTTTTTTGTTTCTTTGTTTCTTTGTTTTTAATGAATAAATGCCCCATTTATGAACTGCATCAGGGTTCGGGCACAAAAAGCAATCCACTCTCACTCCAGGGGCCGAGTTCACGTCGACACTCTGTGGTAAAGTTTAGGCAACAAAATAACATTGCGGTTTTAGAGAAATTGTGAGGAAGTACATTAACTCACGGTGGACTTCTGTGTTAAAGCAGACCACAATCTTTCCCTTCAAATAGTTTAATGATGCTGTCGTCACTACGGGTGGATCAACTTATTTGCAATTACATTAACTTTTCCTCATTCTATAAATATTTTGAGAACAGGATCCTCTCACAGTTATACTTCTTTTAAAAGGTATTTTCTGTTTCCAGTGTGATTTCTCAGAGACGGGGTTGTTGGTTGGAGTACATTAAGTTAAATACTCCTTTTTTTAAAAACTGATTATTCTTTTGGTTGTATCATTTGTCTATTTTGAAAATTTATGGAATCACCCTATTTTCTTTCCCTCAAGCCATTTGCTTGTATGTTTGTGTTGTTGTCATAATTTTTGATCTGTGTTTCATTTTGTGATCCAGTTATTTTTGTAGGATTGCATGTGCTATATTGTGGGACAAGTCCGATCACCGTGTTTTTTCCTATGAAATGGAAATAAAAACATACCTATTTTTGACCTGAGCTTTCATTCCTTCATTCACCCGTTGGAATGGCATCATCACTGTATCATTCAATACTTTCCCAAATCACTTTGTTTTTTTTCATGTTGTAGGTAATCATGGGGCATGACAGTTACTAAGGTAACTCTTGTAAACTTTTTCATGTGTCTCTGCCAATCACAGACCAGGATGTCTCCAGGAGTTATTCCACCATGGATGGACGCCACACACCTCAGAGTAGAAGACCTACTCCTGACAGAGAGGTACTACATTGAAACTGGTTACTACTATTCTCAACTCCACACTGAAGCATTAAGAAACTCATCATTTTTTCTTTGACCCAGCTGACAGATTTTACAAATGGCAACATGCTACACTTAAATACTGTGTAATGAATGGAATAATTAGTTGTCGCCACAAAAACAGTTCAGAGCAAGCTAATATCTTTGTCTTTAATTTCCCAGTAGTTCAGCACAATGAAAGCTGGTCATTCATTTTCTAAGTAGATCATGTTTGTCTCTTATGTTATACCTGGTAATGCTTGCCGGCTTTCTTTCTCTCACTCCGCTCTTCTAGGTCTCCCATAAACAGATGACACAACTTATTCTGTTCTCTCTCCTCCATCAGAAACAGCCTGCGAGAGCCATTTATGATTTTAAGGCACAAACTGCTAAGTAAGTACAGTAAATTGACAGTGCACGGCACGTACAAGGAAGCCAAACTTAAAGGCACGAAGCTGGAACTGCACATCAATACATCTCAACATGCTGCATTAAGTGTTATCGTTGTATTGTATAGCTTCGCTTCCATACAATTTCTGTTGCATTCTAAGAAAACTTCATTTTCACATTTTATCATTCCACCTGGATGGCTTTAACTGATTTCTGTTTTGCAGTCTTTACGTGCATGCATGAATAAAGCTCATTTCTGCAGTGCTGAGTCCTACTTTACTCTGCTTTAGTGGCTGACACTCTCACAGATGCTTGATTACATTAAGTGCTGTAGCAGTGACGGCGTCTTGTTCAGTTCATGTCTTCCTTGCGTCTATGCGGCGGATCAAGCTTGCATGCAAACACTCTTCACTGATACAACTGTGTTACAGGGAGCTGACATTTAAAAAGGGGGATGCAGTGAACATCATCAGGCAGATAGATACTAACTGGTATGAAGGAGAACACCGGGGACGGGTGGGAATATTCCCTATATCATACGTAGAGGTGAGTGCGATGCTGATATGTCTGTGCCGAATGCTGTATGTGTGTGTGCATCATCGTCTTCGTACTTAAATGCTGATCTCCTTCTCCATAATACATGCATTTGTTTTTCACACACACACAGAAAATGCCGTCCGCAGAGAAGCAGCAGCCAATCCGTCCTCCTCCCCCAGCGCATGTCAGAGAGATTGGAGAAGCAGTGGCACGCTACAACTTCAATGCTGACACCAACGTGGAGCTATCGCTAAGAAAGGTAGCTTCAGTATTTTATGTTTGCATGTGTATAAAAAGCTGATTCCAAAATTTTGATAAGATGTTTGTGTTGTATTTTATTATTTGTTAAAATTTAAGCTGATTTGCTAGTTTTGAAGTAATTTAACATCAACAAATAGAAAGTCAGCATTCAGATGTAGTTAACTCCTCTGAGCCCCAAAATCCAATAGCAGGTTTAAAACTCATGTCTTTTTAAAAAATCGCCAAAATTACATCATTTATCAGAGCCAGAGAGTGTTGATGGGGAAAAAAAAGAAGTTTGTGACAGTTCTTGACCTATTCATCTGTGGCAATCGTGATAATGCATCAAAATTGCTTCCTCATACATGCATCATTTAAATATTCACTAAAAAAAAATTTTTTTAAAATGACAAAAAGAAACCATTTGCTCTAACTATGTTATTCTAAAAATCTAAACTCTGCACCCCTTGGGAAAACCATGAAGCCTTTAATGACTCATCTTCAACTTATTGTCATGTGAAAAAATGTAGGGACTTTTGTTTACATGGAGCAGAGCATGGCAACAAATAAAAACAATAAATAGTCGTAAAATATCTATAGTATGTAGAGTAACTGGTTTTTCAGTCACACCTCTGGGCACTTGGAAAAATGTTGTACCTGATATTACACTATTTATTTTACATTTTTTTGTAAAATAAGTAATCAAAGAAATGTTATTTTTTTCCTTTGTTTTTTATTCTTATTTGTTCCTGGCAATATAATTGTGTTAGGTTGCCCAGAGAACATTTCTGTCTATTTCTGGCCATGGTTGTGTTGTTTTCATAGAGGTACAGGATTTTATATTACTTTTTTTTAATGAAAAATGAGATCACAGTGAATAAAAGTGCAACAATAACAAAAATGTTTCCAGTAACTGTTTAGAATCCACGGGTTGAAATATTAAAGTAATCAGTTTTAAGGTTATACCAAGTATTTATTATATGTTTGATGTAATAAGTGCTACACTGGTTAGATGTTTCATCAAAAAAGGATTCAAATTGTATCCTCATGTGTGGCATTTAAAAAACATAAAGTAGTAGTTAGTAGTACATCGTACACAGCCTCCCTGTGGATGGTTACATGTTTTGAAATTCACACAGGCTGCACAGTTTTCTCTGAGACCAACAATATTCTAAAGATAAACCATAGGCCTTTGGAAAAAGTTGATCACTCTAAAGATGCTATGATCATGTAAAAGAAAAAAACATAAGAAGTATGTGAAAGGTAGCACTGTAGAGTTTTGTTCCTTACAACAGAGCTGTGTTGCAGTTATAAATGATGTGTATATTTTGGATGTGTTGCGTGTGTGCAGGGTGAGAGAGTGATTGTGATCAGGCAGGTAGATCAGAACTGGTATGAGGGGAAGATCCCAGACACAACCAAACAGGGCATCTTTCCTGTGTCCTACGTTGACATCGTCAAACGCTCCCCGTCCAAGAGCTCCTCCCACCACATAGATTCACATGGTTACCCTGGCAACAGGACACCAAGCTCCACACCCATCAAGGTAAGAAAGTCGAGGACTCACTCACTCTTTAGACGATAGCAAACAATAAACCTACATCATAGACCTTATCATCTAAAATAGCTTTGAAGTTATAAACAATAAAGCACTTTCAGTTGCTTTAAAAATGAATTTATTTATGGCTTTGGGGTTTTGGGGTGTTGGTTAATAACCAATGCCACAAATGCCAAACATATTTTACATCCTCAAAAAGTAACACGCCTCCATTGAAGTTAGATCGTTGTTTATGTGTGAATATATTTAAATAAATACATAAATCTGCATGCCAGAGTAAATTCAGCATTTTTATCTTATTAGACACAGCTTGGCCTTGAAAAGGGAAAACACACACACACAGAAAACACACCCGGTTGTTCTCTGTTCCAGTTTTATAAATCACACTCTGTTCCTTCTTTTTCACTTTACTTTCATGGAGCCTTTCTATCATCTACCTCCATCTTCCACCACCCGTGACCTCCCCTCTCCTCACCCCTCTTTGAGAAGGCTTGACCTGCAAGCTGTCACCAGCGAGTGGCTCTCCCTCACCATGGAACCACCAGCGTCCCCTCAAGCTCGCTCCCTCACAACCACCCCTCTACCGCCCACACCGCCTCCTCTCCCCGCCGACCTCACACCTTTCCTAAATGCTCAGGAGCCTAAGGCGCGCTCCCCTGTGCCATCACAAAAAAGCCTCGCCCTTTCACCTCAGGCAGTTTCCAGAACCCCCACCTTTAAAGAGGGGACCCTTAGTTTAGGTCACACCACACCTGTCCAGTCTTTCTCCCAGCCTACTCCGCTTCCTCCTCCTCCTCCTCCTCCTCCTCCACCTCCTCCCCCAGCCCCTTATTCCTCATTCTCCTCTCCACTTCATGACTCTTCACTTCCATATAACAGTGCCACGGGGTTACATATCACTGAAGCACCCGAAACATTCATTACTAAGCCAAAGGTTTCGTCCTGCGCAGTGTCAGGGCCAATTAAGTCGCCCACACAGCTTCCACGACAGCACGGGTCCACAGTGCCGGTGAACAAAAGCAGCAAAACCCCTGACATTGAGTTGCGAGTAAGCGACCCTTACGACGAGTTGCTGTCCATGATTCTGGATGGATCCAGCAGCACAGAGGACGTTTTAAGATTGTATCCAGTAGATTCTCCACCAGCCCAGCCGACCGCTGAATCTCAGAGCAGATGGCTACCGCTGAACGCCAAAGAATCCCGTCAGCCAGCAGTAGCTCCAGCAAGCGACTCAGCTGGCGGTGTTCGGTTAGAAGTTCAGCTTCACAAGCCGGTAGCAGTGGAGCCGCTATCCATTCTGTTAGGAGAGCAGTCGAAAACTGTAAAGGAGCAGCCGTTTGAGTCTCAGAGACCACCGTCAGTAAAACAAAAAGGATACACTGAGTTGTTCATTGAGGAAGAGGATGAAGCTGGAGAGGACAACGAGGAGGACGTTAGAGTTTTAAATGAGAGACTCAGTCCACAGGTAGAGCATGGTGTGAGCTGCATCTGTTGAGTCTGAACATGATACAGGGCTCTGGAAGGGACATTGAGGAAAATGTTTGTTTTACTGTATTTTAGAAAAATTTGACTTGTAGATTGTTCTTTCGATAAACTTTAGACTAAAAGATCATAGCACTCAGGCTACTGATCTACAGGTAACGAAGACACCATATAACAGAGTCATCAGTTAATATCTATATGTTGTGAGAACATAGTGAAGGTTGAGGTGGGTGTAGTGAGTTTAGTGGAGATGGATTGTAGTGAAGTGGGCCAACAGATAATGTTAAAGATGTTAAATATTGTTCATTTAAATAGGAAAGTACTATAACTGAAAGACATAATTTCTAACTGGAGTCCATAAATTCAAGAAATTACTAGCTTCATTTTACTTGTTAGCTTCATTTTTAAACTGAGGAAGCTACAAACTGACAAATGAAACAAGTGTGAGGACAAAGTAAAGTACGAGATGATGTGTGTGTTGCAGTCAGAGGGGAATCGTGAATGCTTCAATCTTTAAAGATCACCAGCTGACGAGTTAAATTATGATAGGACTAGAATATCAACGAGAAGTGCATCATTTTCTGAAAGGTTTTGACAGTCTGTAGTTCTTTACTTACACAGTTGCATATTTTATAACAATATGCAGATAAAGATTTGTCTTCATGAGGTTTTGGGTTGTTTTTGTTCTTTCTTTATTGTTATATTAGATGACCTTTTTTTATTACTTGTCTTAAATGCAGCACAAGTAAAATATTACTCAAGATGATGCAAAAGTTTTCTCATTTTTGTTTTTTTTTTTGTTATTAATTCGTCTGGATTTTTTCCTCAATGTCCATTCTGGGTTTCAGTAAAATACAAACCAAGCATTGAAGGATTTCTAAAGTTATCATCATGTGATTCAGCTTCAGTATTCATGTGTGTGTCTTTACCCCAATAGGCAGAAGTCTCTCCTCCCACTCTGACACAGTTTCCTCACCCCGGCCCCTCCTCACCCTCCATACCGCCACCTCTGACCTCCGCACTCCCCCCTCCTCCGCCTTCTGCTTCTTCTCCATCTTCTCCTTTCTCCCGGTCACAACAGCATGATCGCAGCATCCTCCCTCCTTGTCCCCCTGCCTCCCCTCGGCCCCCATCCCTCCCTCAACTTTCGACATCGCCTGTACCTCCAGCCTCTCCGGCTGTCTCACCACCTCCCCTCCACTTCTCTCACCCCTCTCCAGACCTTCCCTCACAGCGCTCTGTCCCTCACCCTCCAAGCTCTCCCAGTCTCTCCACTCCAGTCACGCCCTGCCCCGTCTCAAGGTCGCCTTTCCCCCCTCCCGTCCCGTCTCCCGCTAAAACTGCCTCTCCTCCCCTCTCCACTCCACGCTCTCCCCCCACTGTCCCTGCTCTACCCCATCCAGGACGTAGGTCTCCCAAGGTGAAGGTAAAGCTGGAATGTGGAGATGGTGGGGTTGGTTTTGATCGCATTTGCGGTGACGAGGATTTTAAGAACTAATAACTGTTGTGCTGTTGAGATTGGTGGAGCTGAGACTAAAGTTGATAAGTGAAGCTTAAAAAAAAAAAAGTTAATTGTCTGATTAATTACAGTCATCCTCAAATGTATTCACACCCTCCCATTAAAGAAGGAAAAAAACAGCTGCCACTGAAATAAGAAATTGGCAAAAGTAATAATAAATAAAATTTAGCGAAAATCATGACATTGCTTTGAGTTGTGGTTCAACAGAAGTATTAAAAAAACAAAACAAAAAACAAGCAAGCAAACATGATGGGACCCGTAAACTAATATTTTGTTAAACAACCGTTTGAGCCAATCACTGCAATCAAGTGTTTTCTGTAACTCTCAATCAGACTTCTGCACCTGTTGACAGGTGTTTTGGTCCACTGCTCATCAGCAAAGTGCTCTCATTTGTCTGGAACATTTTTGATTTTTATGTTTTTTTTAATCTTTTTTTTTTCAACCACAACTCAAAAGCAATGTCTCATTTCACTGAATTATAATTTAGCAAATTTTTATTTATTATTACTTTTTTCAGTTTCTAGTTGTTTGAGTAACTATTGTGAATTTTTCCTTTTCTTCAATGGAGGGATATGAATACATTTAAGGACGACTGTATTTGCTTCAGGTGTGTGGAGAAAAAAGAAATTATTTCAGTTGTTTCTCAGTTTAATATTGTAAGTCGAGTGCTCTTGTGTTTTGGTGCGTTGTTTAGGAAATATGTACATTTGTAATGAACTGAATGATTGATGGAAATCTGTTGGAGGATTAATAGAGCTGACACTACAGTGTGCTTTGGACACTAACACGCTTGAATGTGAATAAGAGTAAGCTGCTTCTGTTGGTTGTACTGTGGTATGATTAGGAAGATTTTCGCTGACGTCGGCATCTTGAAGGATGATGTTTTACAGCATGTCATTAGAATTTCTGCCTGTGTGTTCAGCTCGTAGTGAAGGCCGCTGACTTGCATACTGTTGAAAATTATAGGTGTGTTGCTTCTGGTCTTTCTGCCTGTTAAGCAGGATCCAGTTGTTGGCGGTAAGCCTCCTCGTAGCCCCATCTTGTCCCGGAGGTCCTATCTGTCACCCGTTAGAGGTCGAAGGGTAGGGGGGCATGTCTTCATTCAACCACGCTCTTGCTGCACTCGAGTCACTGTGCAGGAAGAAAATCATTAGAAATTACCATGTTATTCATGACTGATCACCACACAGTTTACAACATGCACACTGAAGTATGCTGGTTTTCTCAATTCAGTGTAATTTCCCTTCTTGAAAAGGGGAAATTGTTTTATCTCTAAGTAATACATGAGAACATTACAAGTGTTTTCTTCTCATACACTCGACAAAAGCAGCACAAATAACACGTTTTGATTCATTATTCGTCTGTGTTCTTCTCTTTCTCTAACTCAGCGATTAGTACAAGATGCACTCCACGGTGGAGGAGACCCGTAAGTGGTGCTTGTTTTCATTAACGGATTGTTCTTATAGTTTGTTTTTTTTAACTGGTGGGAATCTCATGTTGTCTTTCTGTGCTTAAGTGTATATAGAATTAGAAAGCAGTGACTGTGATCAGCTAGCTACACCAATACAATTTCAATATGTCATATAAAATTATTTGTGTTGCAAAGGAGTACAGAGGATGAACCTGCCAGCTAAAGAGTGAGATGTAGGACACACAGAGGACTTCTTTTTTTGTTCAGTACTGTCAGTGCAGTGTTTCATGGATCATTCACGTCAGTTTCTCTGACTCAGGTACCAGGCCTTGTACAACTACATGCCTCGCAACGAGGACGAGCTGGAGCTGAGGGAAGGAGACGTTGTTGATGTGATGGAGAAGTGCGATGATGGCTGGTTTGTTGGTAAGAAGAGAAAATACATCAACTAACAAATGAATGGGTATTATTTTCATTGTAATTCTTTTTAGAGACAGATGTGATAATCCTACACACTTCATCAGGACGACACAGAGACAGAATGTTAACGTACTACACCTCAAGCTCAAGTACTGTGTTAAAGAGCATTTTCATGGTACTTGCAGCTTGCTTTAGAATTTTCATTTTATGCTTCTTTATACTGTCACTTTTTACTTCATCGTTGGCCGTATGGTCAGGCAGGAATATTGTCATCTTCGCTCTAATACATCTTTCTTAAAGCTTTACTAAATACTTTGTAGATTCTAGTGTATAAAACATGATTGTGAAACAAACACAAACTGTGAAGATACACATTTATTAAGACTCAATCAGAAAGAACATGTCTATTTATATGCAGGTCAAATTGCAGTTGAGTGTAGCAGAGTTTGTAATATGGTTGGAGCTGCTGGGATCTCAACAGACAGACTGAGTCCACTAGATGTCAGTGTGGTTCCACCCTACATTTATACACTGACTGAAAAAAGAAAAAAGGAAGTCAATGTTGTGCACCTAAGATGTGCAATATAAAGTCCTGCACCCCTACGGCCACAGCCATGACTAGAGGTACAGAGAACTCAAAATTGTATTTTGTATAGTATGACATAGTTAGAAAAGTCATTAAAAAAGAACATTCAACATCTTGATTACTTATTTTACAAAAAAAATCAAAAAGTCAACATCAACAACATTGTTCCAGGTGCCCACATGTGTTACCGGTACTGGAAAAATATGGTGACTTCACATGATAGATGCTTTACTACGTGCATTTGTCATTTGTTTCTGTACTTTTTGCTCCGTCTAAGCACAGCCTGCAGTTCAGCTGAGAACTCCCTGGATCTTTGTAATGTGCCTGTTGGCCACACATGAGTCATTAATGAGGTCACAGTTGCGCTGAGGAGAGCGTAATTTTTTTTTCTACAGAATCTAGTGCAAATGCTTTATTTTTTTTACATATTTTCCAAATGAGACGTGTAAAATAAAGTGATTTTGATTAAATATATTGTTTTAAGTAAGTTAAGTTTCTCTGTTGAACAACACGTCACAGATGGGTCATCCAAAACCACTGGACATTTAAAAATGCAGTAATTCTTTGTGTTTTTCAGTTTGTGGCTCTGATAAATGGTGTCACTTTGGCAATTTTGTTTTATTTTAAACACTACCATGCCTTTCATATTGCAGGTTTTGGGGATCAGAGGGTTAAGTGTAATTTCCCGACACTGACAGTGTTAACCTTCACAGAAAACACTTGAAAATATCTTTAGATGTTACTGTCAATCTTCATTTGGCTGATTTATGGACTGCAGTGACAGTCAGTCAAAGTGTTTAAATAGCAGCTACTGCTCCAGCCAAGTTTGAGTGTTTAAAGCTCTGATGATGTCCTTTTATTGCTCTGTGTTTGTGAAGGGACCTCTCGAAGGAGCAAGCTGTTTGGAACCTTCCCAGGAAACTACGTGAAGCAGCTATAATGATGATTCCAGACTCCCCCTGACCCCATCCGTCCCTTTTCTGTGACACGTTCATCGCCCTCAGCACAGCACCCGCAGGACATCACCAGAGACCTGCCGCACATCTGTGTGTTTGCGTGTATGTGTGGCTTGTCAGCTTCACACAGACAGAATACTTAGCTCTAACTAGCCATCTTTAATGGAAGACTTCTATAAAAACTAATATTGTTTTTTAATCCTATCTTTTTACCCTTATTTTTCTATCATGGAGAACCCAAAATTTGTGCTCCAGTCAGCGACCTTTAACTTTTGACAGTGATGGAAGGATACCGGAGGACCGCGGTGATGCTTTTCCACATTTCAACAGTTTAAGGGCAGTAAGATCACCAAGATCACTTTTTTTTTTTCCCTCCTTTTTCTGCAGTATCTCAAATTTGTAGAACACTTGTTACAGTTCATTTCAGTGTTCACTTACAAACATCCCCAAAGACGTAAAGTGCAGAGAGTGTTGTAAAAACAGTATTGTGTCAGCAGGTCTGTTCTGTCAACTGTGTTTTGGGAATTGCAGACAAGCGTCATGATGCCAGGTAAACGGATGTGACTGCACCACGGTTACAAGTGGAAAAGACTGTGCATGTATCAATGTAACGTGTGACCCGAGGTTTGAATTGGTTGGTAAGAATTTGGGGACATTATTAATCATAATCAGCAATTATTTCAACCTCTGTACAAGGTGAAAAACATCACTGACACGGCTGTACTTGCTTTCTAAACATGTAGTCGAAGATTAGAAGAACTATTTTCAACTCGTTGGTTTTGATGTTCAGTCGTTTTCACGTTAGGATTGATGCACTTTAACAAAACCTTGAACACAAATTTGTGTTTTGTTTTATTTCAAATTTCACTTCAGATTTTACACACTAGAGGTTCCACTGACTGTGGGGCTTCAGGGGACGTAGTCATGTGTGCAAAGTGTATGCAGAAAGGTTACTGACCTTTTAGGTATTATATTTATTAGAGGATGAACGCTGATCAGACCGTGTTATAAGAGGGTTTTAGAAAGGACGGAACACCACATTGCTTTTTTTAAAACATATTTTAACAGCACCTAACCTACATTTCGAGGATTGTTCTTTTGTTGTCAAGTGTCTTTGTCCAGGTAGTAGGTTCTGAGTGTGACAAATAACACGATAGTTGATGGGCTGCAAAGGATTGCCAGGCGTCCTGTTGTTTTATGTTGAATTTATTTAAGTCGGATGCAGGATGAGATGGCATTTCATGAAAAACTCCAGTCGTGTAACTGCAGTTTTTCCACTAAACATGTGGCATCTTGTAACCCTGTTGTCAGAGTGAGTGGATAGTGTATCACTGTTCATGTGTGTGTGCTATTTGGGATAATTGGCAGTTTCCATCTTAGCTTGTCATGCTCAGTAAATACAATCTGTGTGTTTTTTTTGTTGTTGTTGTCGTTTATTTCTCATTTTGTGTTTCACAAAGTACGGACACTGACGACAAAACTATTGTTAAAGCACCTTAAAATATTTTATCATTCATTGTCCTTCACGTCACTCTCTGTCATTCACTATTTCAGCTGGCGTGAGAACACGTGTGTGTGTGTGTGTGTGTGTGTGTGTGTGTGTGTGTATGTCTGTGGTGTTTTTGTAAGCCTTTTGTATGAGAGCTGTAAAATGGCCAACATCCACTTGCTTTATAAAGTCAGCTTTTTCTCACCCACCATCACATTTGGTTTCCTCTCTTTCTTCACATTTCCTTCATCAGTGGTGCTAATTCCCACTTTTCTGAAAGCTGTTATTGTAGCCAGGCTTGTAGGCCTCTTTTTTTTTTGTTTGTTTGTTTGTTTGTTTTTTGCTCCAGTTATCTGTAAGAGTCGGTGAGGTATTTAAACTGAAGTTACTGTAGGTAGATCGAACAGAGTTGGTGATTGCTGCCTTACATCCAACTCAATAAGTTAATAGCCATGTATATGTAAACCTCTTCTGTGATGCAAAAAATTAATTTATGCATATGTAGTCTAGAAAACACCAAGAAATTGTATGAAAGTGTGCGGAGAACATAATCATCAGTGTTGAAACAAACAGTAGGCCTCTTGTCTGCCTTTGATACATCCATAAGAACAGATTTAGACATGAATTTGACTCCTGATATGTTTATACCTGTAATGAAAATGTAAATCTTATGTTATTCATGTTAATATCAAACTCAATGCACACTCTTGGACCTTAGTATTTCTACAGTATCTTAGCATTTGTTGGATGATTTTATGAGGCTGTGTTGCTAATAAAATCCAGCTGGTAGATCAAATATTTCTAATTATTTTTTCCTTTCAGCTCAATAGAAAAGACTGTGCAGATGACTGAAAAGTAAATCAAAGTGTAAAAGCAGCCTGTAGGAGTTTGACCCTTTGCCTAGAAGCGCGGAGGTGATGCATGCATGTATTTGCTAAATTTCACATGTTAACAGTTGGTGGCAGTAATGTGCAGTAAACGGCGATGGGGTCGGTCCATGAAAAACCAGCTGGCGCCTCCCACCTCACCCCCTCAGGATCAGCAGACTGTTTTCTAAAAATATTTATTGAAGAAATGCATCAGAGTCTGAATATTTTCAGAGTTACAAGCCCTGGAAGTACACAGGGGTCGGTTGAACTTTGGTGCTTTTTAATTTACATGATTTTTTTTTACAGCATTTTAGAGCCTTCATGACTTCACAAGCACAGCAGAAGGACACGGGATATTTTAGGGCTGAAAACACATTTGAATCTGTTAAAAACTGAAACAAAATCAATTTTTCATCCGCTCCAGATGTCACAATCTAAAGCCGAAGCCTTGTTGTCGTTCAGTACGATTTTTGTCTGCAGCCAATTTTGCAAATTGTCACAGTAACGTTTTCTGATAAATCTCTAAAGAAATCTTTCAAAAGTGCTTTTTAGTTCAACTTTAAGGGGTCATATCATCATGTAAGATAGATGGTTATGATATTTACCTGCATTTTGATTCCAGCGTTCAAACTGTTTTCTTATGCAGTCATATTTTTACACTTGACTTTGTATCTAGTGTCTGTGAAACGGACAAAGAACGCTGGTGTTTGCATATTTTATCTAATGGTTTGGACAAATCACACAGATCAAACATTTGTGGAGCATTTAAATGTGTGTTTGAGAGTCATCCACATTCTAATCCGATGGCATTCACTTCTTATGTTTGACACAGAAGAAATCGTGGCTAGAAGACGAGCCTGCCGTCAGACTGTTGCTCTGAATGAGACCTTTCAGATGCTGTAACTATTTCTGACCAACAACCTGTCCCACATGGTCACATGACCCTTGTTTGACCCAAAATGCACTTTTTGAAGTTGTCTGTGTGAAAGTCAATATCAGAAAACTGATTCTGTTTCTCTGCCACAGACATAAAACTGGTGCGCTTTTGCATTTGAAACCATCACGATGTTGGTGTTCAACACTGGTTAAGGAAAAAGTATACGACCCAACGAAAAACAAGACTTTAGTTTTAGATTATGTCACCTGGAGTAGAAGTGAAGTCAGATTTTCCACTTTTGTTGTTCGATTGCACCTTGATTTAACATTACAGACTGAAGTTAGAAATAAGTTTTGTATTTTTGAATTTAACCCTTGGTTGTGGAAAACACTGAAATCGATTTTGGTCTATGTGGTACAAAACTTTGCATTCTTACTGTAGCTGCTCTATAAATTTCACAACTTTAAATTGCTTTAACATGTCTTTCTTTTACGCAGTGAGTAAGTTTTCCCTGCACTCAAAACAGTACATGTTGGGATTATACGCTTAGACAATGTACGCTGTGTGTGTGTGCTAAATATAATCTCGTGCTGTTGTTACAGGTGTGAGCTATGGAGAGAATAAAAGCATAAATATGTCCAGTTAATTCAAGCAAACCAGTCGCTCTCTACAGTCTGATGTTACCGTCCAGAGGGAGGAATGTTGGACTACGAGTGCTTCCCTTATTAGACAGTGAATTAGTTTCTCATAGTAACCACAGAGAGACACCGTAAATCTGATCCACATTGAAATACTTCACTGGAAAAGGATTTTCAAGGCTCTGGACAACTGGTGGAGGCACTTTCTTTCATTTATGTGATGAAAACATGTCCTGCTCAGAGTGAAAGCTAAACCAGTGCCCACAGCTTGTTAACACAGACACTTAATGCCCGTTTTGTGTTTTTCACCATTTTTGCAACAGTCCAGACATGAAAGCTACACAGAAAGAAAAATATCCTTCGCTGGCTTTGATAAAAGTCTGTCATCGTAAGGAAAGGGCAGAGTGTTAAGATGCTCTGTAGGCCAGAGGAGGTATTTTTAGACATGAAAAATGACTCATTTTAACAAACATGACAAAAGCCGGTTTCTACATATGATTGAACCCAGAGCGTAACTGGATTATTATCAGGCTCAGGACTGCGAGTCCTGGGTCCCATCCAGATCAATAGTGGCTGGAATGTGCCTGTGAGACCTTCAGGGCCTCAGAGAGGAGCTTCGCCTCCAGACCAAATAAGGACAGGAGCAGCAGGACCCATCAACCAGAGCAGGAGGAGGCCAGGCAGACTCCGAGCTGCTGGGGATGTGAAGTGTCCGGGCTGGGGGGGGGGCTTGTTTCTGACAGAGGCTGCTTTACATCTAAACTCTGTCTACAAAGTGTCCGTGTAGGTGAGCAGAGACCGTGAGCTGAAACTGGCTCACAGATGCTTGAGCTGTGAGTGATTTAAGACCCAAACAGTAGATTTCCACTGGGAGAGAAGAAGTGGTAAAAGAAGAAAAAGTGCTGAAGAGAGCGAGGTGAGCAAGTGCTGGAGGTAGAGACTGAGTCAGTTCCCAAAATCTGACCAATTACCTCACTGGTGGGGTGTGGTCTGTCTGCTCTCCTCCCCCCTGACCCCCCCATCCTCGCACGGTTCAAAATCTCCATCACTTTGATATTCCTCTGCTCTTTAACTGTGATCCCGGCAGCGTGCGCTTTACTGCTGTTGTCAGAGCAGCGACATTAAAGGGTCATGGCGCTTAACGTGGTGCTGGATGGGCCGGCCCCCTGGGGGTTTCGCCTGACAGGAGGGAAGGATTTCAACCAGCCCCTGACCATCTCCAGGGTGAGTGAGCAGCATGATGTCTCTGTTATAAGAACAGAAGAAGAAAACTCTTATTTAACTTCTTTCCTCAAGTTGTTTGGGCAATATGGTTGTTGTTTTACAGTTAAAGATTCGTCACTTGTTCACATCCAAAGTGTAAATCTGTGATCTGCGTTTGTCCTCTGGTGGTCCAGTCCCGAGGAATCCCCGTTTGCTTTAGTGTCAACATTGTGTTTCCAGGAGGCTTCGTTCTAGAAACATTCTGGTGTGGTATGGAGCCTGCACCTGTGCCACAGTAAATGCAAGAGGCTTAGATACAAATAGCAGCTTACATTGCACCCTGACATGCACACACACCCACACACACACACACGTCTCACTGAGTGGATTCAGACAGAAGAATTTAGGAGGACGGAAACTATTCCTAAAAATGCACATTAATCCTGCAGCATGTGTGGCTGATGTCCAACTAAAAACCTGATGAAAACCATGAAATGTGTCCAAACGGAGTAAAGGACGTGGGATCCTACGGGGGCAGCACTCCTAATGTTTGGACAAACGTGCATAAACCTCCACACTTTACGGGATGTTCATGCTGGCAGCTGAGTCAACACAGAGGAGAGCGTGTTTGTCATTGATTGGAGTGATGAGCGCAGCGTCGTGATATGTCTATTATAGCGGTGCAGCTGCTGAGGAGACACCTCAACTTTGGCTCAACTTACAGCATCACAGGCAACAGCTCGGAGATGAGTGATAGCATGTAGGCACCTTAAAGAATCACATTATGAGTAGTTTGGATGAACAAGTGGCTGACAGCAAAGATACGAGGGTTAGAAGAAAAAGGGCAAATTGTGGGGAGGTTATATTTATCATCATTTGGAATGAAAATGATAATTTCCTGCAACAAATAGGGTATTTCCTGTTGATACACAGTGCAACCAAACAGGGACAAGAAAAAGTAAATTTAGAGGGATGGTTCACATTTTGAGAAATATGCTTGTTGACTTTTCCTTGGTGAGATTAAGATGATAACATAAATAGAGTAAATAAGTAGCCAGGACTGGGGCCAGTTTGTTATTGCTTCAAAGAAGCACAAAAACGAAAGTGAAGCAGCTTATTTCCTTAAAATGTCTTCTTACTGCTTCAACAAAAAACAAGCTTGTCAGTGCACCACAGTATGTTAGATGCACCAATGCCAGACAGAAAGGAGAGGAACATAACAACAGAACGAAGACAACAAAGAACTACTGCACCCTAAAAACATAAAAATATTATTTCATAACAACAGCAGTTTTTTTTTTCATGCATCTTCTTTTTGTCTCTCTCCTTTTGGAAATACACTGTTGTAACACAAAGTCACTCCGCAGTGTGGTCCATTGATTGTTGATCTTTCTTTTTTTTTTTTTAACATTCTCAATATGAGCGTCTCCATCAGTGTTTGGACTCATTTGAGGGCTGAATCCCTAGAGTCACACGGGGTCAGATGAGATCCTGCTCCGCTCGGGTATTGTGCGTCTATATTTAGGGAAAGACCTCACAAACTACTGACGAAAAGCACAGTTAGGTCGCAAACCGCTCACTCTGTCCAGTGCCCTCACACCTGTTGTGTCAGTGGACACTCTGAGGCCTACATGAGAAGAGTGATGAGAGAAGACTGGGATGGAGCGGAGCCGAAAGGGTGAACGACATGCGAGCGGTGATACAAGCAGTAGCATCTTACAATGTACAAAAAAGAGGTATAGTAAAAAAAAACTGTAGAAAGCTCTGATATACCGAGAAAATATATAAACTGTCTACATGATAAATGAAAAAGATTGTTGCTTCAGTGAACCCACAAGCTTCATTCAGGCACAAGTGAATCCACAGTCTCCCTTCACTGCCATTTTTGGTCAGGAACATCCTCCTCTTTGTGAGCCGCTGGTGTTCCCAGCTGGTTGGTGGAAGTAAACAAAAGTGATAATCATCTTTTTTTTCCTCCAGAAGGCAGCAGCCTTAAAGGGGCACCCTTTAAAAAATGTATACACCATCATCAGTATTCTTTTTATGAGCAGTACTATGCAGCATGAAGAAACAGTTGCAGAATATATTACATGTAGCTGCAGGAGCTTTGCCAAGTTGAGAAAATCACCTCTATCATGTCACAGTCATTGCTCAAGCTTTACGATCGCTAATTTAGACTCAGAAATGTATGTAACGAACTTGAAGCAGAGAATTTAATATACATGAGCATGATGGTGTTGCCTCTACTGCATCCACTTTGGTGATTCCTTTTATCATTTCTTCTGAGTCTTTCAGCTGTTCAGGACTTTCATGTTGCCATATGTAGAAGGTATTTTGGATCCATTGGACGCCAAGAAAGAATATGTGCAAAATAACTGTTGGTAGTCATTACAGACTTTTATGCTATGCTAAATACATTTTCTGATAAGCTGACATATTTTTGGTTCCAAATGTATGACATATGTCCCTCTTTTTATATTTAAAAAGAAATCTTTAAAAATAAAAAACAATACCTGTCACCTAAACCAAATGGCCTGGAGTCCAAAAGACCCCAAAGTGTCCTGAATAGGATTAATCTTGCGTTAAGAACATTTTCCCCCCATTTGGGGAATCACAACAAGCTGTAACCACAACAACGACTTATTATCACCTTTAAAAGTTGCTATACCTATAGTCAATCTGTTGCTAAGGGTTGCCCACATGTGTAGCTGCGTCTCAGTCCACCAGGTTTATCCACTTCCTAGAGCTGGTTGTGCTAACTCTAAAGATGTCACAGCAAATGCTCTTCTGCAAGAGTGAACACAAGAGTCTTCATGCACTCCCAACATCTGAGGAACTGAAGACACAGTGGATTACTTTTACTTTTGATGACAGTGTTCTTTCAACAAGTGGAAAATTCTTAGAATGCCATGTTGTACAGCTAATGTGGCTAACATTGGCTTTGATCTTAAGCCCCACGGGTCAGAACTATACGGAAACTGTAACAATGGGGGACATTTAGAGACGGTGGAAACTTTAAGACTGTTTTGAAACCAGTCAACAAGCCCTGTGTGGGTTGTTGTGGTTTCACCTGTTGAGCTCCAGTGAGACTTAAACTTAGCTGAATCTGTTTGCGTCTCTCCTGCTCTCTGTGCTCACATATACTGCATTTTGTACAGCTAAATTCCCAATAAAATGGTTCTCATTTACATATTTCTCAATTTCTGTAGTCAGAAAACTGAATAGGCGTGAAACAGAGATGGAAACAGCCCATTCAGACTACATGTTAACCAGCAGCCCCTTCAGAGTCATTTCCAAGCTGCTGCTCTGCACCAATCATTATACAGTTGTGGTGAGATGATCTGTCTTTGTTGTATTTTGAGCTGAAAAACTGAACAAAACATTCTAGGGATGAGTGAAACTTAATTTGCTGCAATGGAACACAATATAAGACCTTTGTATTTCTCTCAATCAAATCCTGCAAGAAGTCTGGCTATTTAGCAGCTAAATGCTCCAGTTACTGCCTTTGTCTGCCGTTCGGTCAGATGAAGTGTACTGTGGGTTCACAACAGCTTTCCTCTGTGGAATGAGAGACTGAACCTATTGTGAATCCAGTAGGCAGGTAAAGTCATTAATGTTAAATCCAAAGCAATAAGCTCAGAGATGTTAAAAATCTGTGTCAGAGCTGAGAGCTGAAGAGTTGAAGGATGATTCTATGTGGGTTTGCCAGTAAGACGGACCCTTCTTGCTTTACTCATAGCAATTTGATCCACTGTAAATCTAAAAATATTGATGAGTGGAGCTGGAAAACTAACTGGAGTTAGTGACATGGAGTTCAATCAGCAAACGTCTTGAAAGTGCCAGATTTATTTCCCTGTTCTGTACTTCTAGGAGTCTATTACTTCAGCTGAATTCCCCTTTTTAAAACTCCTCAACTTCATTCTTTCTCACATCGAATATTAAAGACAGACGCCACATGTGGAAACTCAGAGGAGTCAGCCAGGGAGAAACCAGAGAGAACGAGAGAAAAGATGGAGAGGTGCTTGTAATTTAAACAAAGACAAATGCTCGACATGACAGCTGAGCTGCGTGGAAACTGAATGATCCAATAAAAGCTCATGGATGTGCACAGATTCAGTTCAGCAGACATCAGAGCAGTAAAACACACAGTCAGACAGAAGCACTCCAACAAATGCTCCGCTGTAAATTACTGCTCCCTCTTTGACAGCATGAGACATCCCCTCAGCAATTTCATCCGCTGTTATTTATAGGCAGATGACCTAATTTTAGTTTCAACGTAACATCCCAGTGTAGCTTAGTTTCCTGGGTCCAGTAATGCAATATGACTGAGCGGAGGTCGTGCCCTGTGTCCTGTAGGTGGGAATATGCTTTGAAGCTGCCACCTGAGAGATATTCTGAGACGCTGATGGCTTTCTTGCTCATCTCGATCAGTTCCTGGCCAGTGGAATACATGTTCCATCTGGATGCTGTCACTTAGCAGGACACAGCGCATGTTTACTTCATCTCCATGACATGAGACGGGCAGTTTACACGCATACATACCAGCCGGGCTTTCTCTAATAGGAATCCTCCTGCTGCATCTCAGCCGCTATTCACACAGAGTGCATGTTCTGTAGAAGTTATAGATTTAGGTCACAAATCGCTTCTGTTATGACCCAATAGTTCGGCGTCTTAGCGGAGTTTTGTATTTTGCTGGAGAATTCAGGCCAGGTGAGACTCAGAGAAAGAAAATCACATAACGCTGTGATCCCAGCTGGAGAGAACATACAAGGGGGCCAGTGAGCACTGTATTAAGAGATGAAGTGCCAGTGATGGAGGCCAGACCCACACTGTTCAAGGGGCTGCACCATCTGTACATACTGGACAGTGTGGCGGGGATTTATGGAGGGACAGCCTGCCAATGAGCAGAGTTTTCAGTTTACTGGCCAAATTCACAGTCATTGCTCTGGGGGGGTTTATTCTAATGCAATATAACTAATTATGCTGTTTTTTTCTTGATAAACTAAAAAACACACAGTGAGGAACAAACTATTTTCTTTCATAGGAAACTTTAGTTCATCCTCAGTTGGTTTTTGGTTGTTGTTTTTTTTTTTTTATCATGATGCCCAGACATATGTTTGAAGGTAGAGAGAAGATTATCCAAATTTCAATCAAGTATTGATTCTATATGTTAGCAATTTAACAAACCCATTTAATAAACCCAAGTGCAATTCATTCATTTAGAAATATTCTTAAATTTTTGCTCTTAGTATCCTTGTGTTCTTCTGTTTGTCTTATTAATATTGTATATATAGTGTATGTACCTTGCCTCTTTAATTTATAGATGTGTTTTCTCGCTTTTCTTACTGTCACTTTGCTGCTGTGGTGTTGCAGACTCTCCCTCGTGGGACTAATAAAGGATAATATATTCTATTCTATTCTATTCTATTCTATTCTAACCAAAGCCGTTATCGTCTCACATGTTCCTGTCTTGCTCCAAGTTTAGCCCAAAGTCTCTTGGCTATTTTTTGTGAAATTTCCACCTGGAAAAACATCCACACATTTAGTCAGTAACAGCTGTCGAACCGCAAGGCCAAACCTTGCAACCTTAGACTCTGTAGATAAAAGACGCTTGAGAGGATTTTGAAACACGATAAGTCTCTTTATCCTTATCACCAATTTCAATCAGCGTGAGATATTAAAAATAAATAAAGAAATAAAAACTCCTGCAAAAAGGAACACTTTTACTTCTGCCTAATCCAACTTGTAAATTAGGGAGTACATAACATCTTTGTAAAACTGAGTCAACAGACAATAATTTCATTGAATGGCAACTCAATAAAATATGCAGATAGATAGATAGATAGATAGATAGATAGGTAGATAGATAGATAGATAGATAGGTAGGTAGATAGGTAGATAGGTAGATAGATAGATAGATAGAACTTTATTGATCAGGGAAATTGTTGTATATACACATCTATGTAGTTACTGTGTTAAAGAAAACAAAAATAAGCCAGACGCCTCTTCCCCACCTCGTCCGATGTATTCATTCAGGGAGTTTCAGCCTTTTTTTGTCACTTTCAGACTTGACTTCAGCAGTATTGTGACTGAAATAAATCACAGTTATTGACTGAGGGATTTTTCAGTGAATTACAGAAACATTATTTTATCATGTAGTGAAGTGATATAACAGAGGAAATTCCTGCTTTGTCATTTTGCAGATGGGTGACAAACGTAGTGTCTTAGTGAGACGTTTGACCACCATAAGCCTGAAAAATATCTGTCACATGCCCGCTGGTGTAAATTCCCTGAAACTCTCCTGGAGTGATTCTGAAAACCATTCCTTCATTTGATGTTTAGTTAGGATGACTGTTCCATGTTGACGTCTAGGAAATGCAAAGGCCGTAACATATACTCATCAAACTATATTGCTGCTGTATGTTTTTCCCTGGTTTTGTATCATCACATGTGACGCTGTCCTGATTGACCGTCCTTGTCTCCCTTGTTTATGCCTTCATCTGCTCTCCATCCAGATCACTCCCGGCAGCAAGGCGGCTCTTGCCAACCTGTGTGCCGGTGACGTCATCCTGGCCATCGAGGGAGCCCCGGCCACTGACATGCTGCACTGCGAAGCCCAGAACAAGATAAAGGAGTCCACCTATCAGCTGTGCCTCACCGTTGAAAGGTGCACAAACACAAACATGACCAGGTGGTGGGCGGAGAAAAGCAACGCCTGCATCCTATAAGTAAATCCATACATTAGTCTTTGAATAAATGTTGTGTTTGGGAAGCTTCTTTATGCCATTTTAGATTCATCCATCCATCCCTTATCTATTATCATTAATCCTCATTAGGGTCGCGGGGGGGGGCTGGAGTCTAACCCAGCTGACTTAGGGTGAAGGCAGGGGACACCCTGGACAGGTCACCAGCCTATCACAGGGCTACACTTAGAGACAGACAACCAAGCACACTCACATTCACACCTACGGACAATTTAGAATCACCAATTAACCTCTACATGTTTTTGGACCTTGTGGGAGGAAGCAGGAGAACCCGGAGAGAACCCACGCTGCACGGGCATTTTAGATTCAGTAAAGTTAAATTTAACCTCTTAAGACCTGGTGCCCACGCATGGACATCACATTTTGGGCTATATAACCACAGTAGTTAATTTTTTAATGTATTATTAATATTATATATTTATTTATTTATTTTAATTTTTAAAAATATTTTTATATATTTTTAAACTATATTTTTTTTTTTCTTTAATTTTTTTTCTTTATTTGATCAGATCAAATAATTTTTTAAAAATTGCATATCAAACAAGAGCTTGGGTCTTAAGAGGTTAAAGGTGTTTTTTTCTGAGAGATTTCACATTTTCATTGGTGCTGCTTGTATTTGTGTCCAGCCTTATTACAACAGTTGATTAATATTTAAATGTGTATAACTGATACAGTCGTGCTTCCTCGCCCTCTTAGCCTCTGATCCTTTAAAACCACATCAGTGTCTACTTATGAGAAATCACTACCGGTTTTATGTCTACAGGTTGTGACTTAAGAGGGGTTTTAAAGGTCTGGATCTGCAGCATTATCCAGTAGTGCACTGGCAAATAATAATAGCAGCAGGAACTGTGAGGACATGTGAGGCAGATGGCATTCCAGGCAAAGGCCGACATGAGTTTAAGTCGAAATTTAAACCTCAGTTTTGATGTTTTATGGGTTGGGATTATAGACTTACGTATACACACAGACTCAGAAGGAGACATTTAACAGTCTCGGCGGTGACCTTCTGACCAGGATCTGTCTTTGATTCCCAGGAATGAATCAAGACTGTGGTCTCCACGTGTGGTGGAGGACGGCAGATCTCACCCGTATAAAATGAACCTGGAGGCAGAACAGCAGGTTTGTAAAACCGTATGAGAAACAGATTTCTTTGTCTTTTTTTTCATCATAGAAGCCATTTAGCTCCACATCATTTTATCCCATTTTATTCCCTCTTCTCCCTACAGGAGTATAAACCAATTGGCACCGCTCACAACCGAAAAGCTCAGCCATTTGTCGCAGCAGCCAACATTGATGACAAGCGGCAGGTGGTCAGTACATCCTACAACACTCCCATAGGCCTCTACTCCTCAGGCAATATCCAGGATGCCATGGAGGGCCAGATCCGAGGCCTGGTCCCCCACAAGCCTGAGAGGTGATCGCTGCAGCTAATCATAGCATCGGTTTCTTTAAAAGCCCTGCAACACAGAAGCTAACCGCTAGCAGCATGACGATAGAAGTGTTGGGCATCAGTCTGTGTGTTGAGAGCAAACAGTCGGCTTATAAAAGTCTCAAACAGCCAAGTTACGTATTTTGTTTTTACTGGAATGACCGAGGAGCCATCTTTCAAAACAGAATCCAGTTGTCTCACCTGATCAGAAGTTATTTCTAATGGCATTTTATCAGCACTATCAGCTGTTACTGCCGAGCGAAGCTGTACTTTGAGCTTTCAAACAAACTCAATCATCTTCTCTAGTTTATTTAGAGTAGGTCATGTAATTTATAATGTCTGATCTTGACTTTCATACCACGACAGTTGGACACTTGACTGCTAACAGCCTTACAGATTGTTCTTATATTAACTGTAAAAACTGTACGTTGTCGATGCTCATTCAAAAACAAACTCTTTAATGAGAGAAATTACAAAAGGACGGGGAGTCCCTCTGTAACGACAGTAGGTTCACTGTAATATTTTGCAGTTGTTTTCTCGAATTTATTTAACTTTTGCAAGCTCACAACTAATGAATCCATCACCTCAGATTTTTACACCTGAATAAAACTAAAAGTATACGTTGTTTTTTTATGGTTAACATCGCTTAAAAATCCTGAGCTGAGTTTGAAATATTTGATGAAATCGTTTGAGAATTAAAATGTCTCTCCTGTGGCGCCACCTGAAGGCCAAACTCAACATTTTCTCCATTAACGGTCCAAAATGACCATTTTTCATCCATCTAAGTTGTGTTTTCTGGTTTATAACGAATGCAGCGATTGTGTTTTTGTGCTCGGCGGTTGTTATATTTACTGTAATCCACCTGCTCTTTACATGAGTCACCTCCTAAATCGCCCTGCAGCCAGCCGGTCAGTCAGATGTACGACGTCATCGCCAGCAGCCTTCCCATCATATGGATTTCATTAGGACATCTGATATATGATGTGTCACTCTGAGAATATGTTTCCCCTGCAGACATGGAAGAATATCTTCGTGGCCCTCACCTTGCAGCAGCCCTACATTCATTTACATCAACACTGTAACGCATTCGCGACCATTTAGAAACACTGATACGACCCTGAAAACGTCATGTTGTATAATTAGCATGTTGTAAATCACAGCTAAAATTGGCCATTAATCACTATCCTTTCCTCTACAACAGCTTTTTTTCTCATCCTACTTATAATATGAAACCATCATGACACTATAATCTCCAGCTGGTTGTTTTCACCTGATGTGCTGCCCTCCTGTAACACCAGCTTCAGGGCAAAGCGGTCTACAAAACGTTTATTTGCCACAATCATCAGACATCCTACAGACCTGCAGCACCACACTTCAATCGTTGTGTGTCTGAATGCTCAGTCCCAGGACTCTGACCAGCATCGAGGACTCTGACGTGTACCGGATGTTACAGAAAGACCAGGAGGAGCCCCAGGAGCCTCGGCAGTCCGGTTCCTTCAAGGCCCTCCAGGACTTTATTGACAGCGATGGTGAGTTCTGCTTCTTTTCCAGGAAGATGTATTTTCACCAAAACAAACAAAAAGAAAACACACATCATAGGTTGGCTTAGTGAGCTTTGGGGTCTCTCTGACACAGAGGCAGGCTAACTGCTCTCCCTGCTTTCATTCTTCATGTTATTGGATAAGTCAGCCAGCTGCTGGTTGGAGCTTTATATTTAGCGTACAGACGTGGGACTGGTATTTTCTCATCTGACTCTTAGCTCCCTTTTGTGTATCATAAGCTTAACAAATATTGTCTGAAGTTATTTTCTTCTTCTTCTTTTTTTTTTATCTTCGTTACTTCGGTTATGTATCATTAATATTATGAAGAAACGCTTAATCATTATTATCAAGTTGTCACACTGGTGCAATTTTCTTTTTGTACAATGTTGTTCTTTACCCCAGAAATACTCTACTTGCAGTTTCAAAAGCTCCAGTTCGGTCATATTGCATTGCATTCTGGAGTGGTTACGTCTGAAGTCAGGGTTGTATTAGAAAAGTCTCATACTTTGCTAATAAGGTGCAGCACCTCACAATTCAAAATGTCTTCATAAAGGCAGACACTTTTCTCTAAAGCAACCAACATATTTCCCTCCTGTACACATCAGAGAAGCGGTTTTGGGTTTTGACGTCTTGCTCAAAGCAGGCAGGAGGAACCAGGAATTAACTCATCAACCCTGTGACTGAGTTTACATGTTGCTCATTTGATGGTTTAACAGTGACGTAAACAAACATATCAGGAGATTGTATTCTGTTTTCTACAAGACAACAAGTAAGTCTTTAGTTATTTTGTTCGACACTGTATGTCTCATATAATACAATGTTAAAGCCTTCAGCAAAGATTTCTGGAATAAAACTCTAGAAACTGTTTCTAGTTCGAACATTACTCCAACATTACAGCTTGCCGCTGTAGCTTTACAGTGTTGGAGCAGAGTCGTGGGTGAGCTGGTGTGCTCGAGCTGCAGTGAATAGTGAAGGAGTGAAGGGAGAGATGCAAGACTGTGACAGCTGCGTCTAAGTTATTTTAAAACACGAAGGGAATACTTTCATGTATTAAATTAAACTTTTAATTATGTATCTTTGAGATGTGTTTTTTGGGGTTTATTCAAGCCTCTTAAAAGAGTTTACAGCCCCAAACAAAAGCCCCCACAGACGAAGTCACACCTATATGTCTGTTGCTTCAGCGGGGATACGAATAAATAAGAAAAGTTTGTCTACAGGAGAATAAATATCTGAAAACAATACTGAATGCAATCTATCTATCTATCTATCTATCTATCTATCTATCTATCTATCTATCTATCTATCTATCTATCTATCTATCTATCTATGCTATGCTATGCTATGCTATGCCCTATGATAAAAGCTATATTGCATCAATGAGATGTACTCCAACAATATGTTTCCCTTATTTTTCAAGTGCTGTAGCATTAAAGTTGCGTAACACGTTGAGACAAAAGCACTTCTCCGTGTGTTTCCTCCATTATTTGAACAGTAAAAATTGTGTCCTGGCAGAGCTGAAGTTCTGACACGCACTCACAACCCCGTCATTTAGGTTTCGAGAGGCAATGTCGCTGCTCCTGAAGTGTTTCTGCCTCACATCTCTCAAGTGCTTTGTTTTCATTTGCGTAGCCGAACAGGGCTGTGTTGTTGTTGAGTGGTTTTCTTTCTCATGTGGGCAGGCACTCGTCCTATTGTGACTCGGACTGTAAAAGCACCCACAACCAAACCAGCTGCGCCCACAGGAAACCTGCAGAAGCTGCCCGTCTGCGACAAGTGTGGGAATGGGATAGTGTGAGTAAAAATAGAACAAATCATGTGTGATTCACATGAAGACCCTCCAAGCATCAGTAAAGACAAAAAGTTACAGAAACAACACGGTCGACTACGACTTATAGCTTGTAAAGAGATAAACATAGAAAATGCAAACAATACAATATAGGTTCCATGTTTATACACAGTATTTTACTATAATATAGTGTCAAATAGATATTTGTTTTGTTTTTACTTGTTATTTTATTACTGTAGAGGTTAAATATTAAATATGCAAGACATCATTTTGGAATGTTTTCAATCGATTATGGCATCAAATAATACCGTTTGATTACTGGCTTTATGCCACTACATAAGGAGTCAATAACAATCAGACAAAATAAACGATGAGAGCATTAAAGTCACTCTTTTAAAATCCCAATAAATGTTTTTTTTTTTAAACTTCTATTTCCCCTTTTTATAAATAGCTATAATAACATTTTGTGTATAAACACTTAGTTTAATCTTTGTGCATCATCAGTAAAAATCTGCATTTTGGTTTGTATGTGATTTTTTTTTTTATTGATTATTCTGGCGGCATCATTTTGTTTTTGTTTTTTTTTTGTAAAATGAAGTAATACAAGTGTAGTCTGTGAATATTCTATAAATCCAATTCATTTTCCATACTTTTGTACTGGGGAGGTGATGTTAACATACTTCAACATATACACTTAGTGTGAGCAGGCAGCGAGCAGCTGGAAGTCTTGTTTTTGCTGTTCTGTGGGGCTTTTAACTCCCACCTTGCAACGGCATTTCTGCAAATGTACGCTTCTGCTCACACACAATCAAATCTTTTTACCAGAGAGGGCCTGGTGTTATCTTACTCTTTGGTTAAATTGTGCTAAAAAAAAAAAAAAAAAAAAAAGTCCTGTTTTTAGTCCATCCATACCAATAACGTATCATAAACAATTTGTTCTTTGTCATGTGATGATGCTGCATCACTCTCCATACAAATCATTTTCTCTTCTCTCCACATCTCTCTGGTGTTGATGCTACAGCGGGACAGTGGTGAAGGCTCGGGACAAATACCGTCACCCCGGCTGCTTCGTGTGCTCCGACTGTGACGTCAACCTGAAACAGAAGGGCTACTTCTTTGTGGAGGGGCAGCTGTACTGCGAGGCTCACGCTCGCGCCAGAATGAGACCACCGGAGGGACACGACCTCATCACAACATTTCCCTCTGCATAGAACTCCCTCGTATAAAGACACAAACACACACACACACACTTTATCAAGCGCTCTTGTGTCCTACATCTGCGTTGTATGTGTTCGTCTGCACTTTGGTGTCGTCTGTGTGCAACAATATTTCAGTAGGAACACACTTATTTCTCTGAGCTTGCCGCCGTGTTGTTTTGACCTGTAAACCGCAGGTGATAAATGAACGACCTGGTTGTTTAAAGAGCCCAATGAAACACTGAGACTTGCCACAATTTGATGTCTTTCTAATAAAGACTTGTTTTTATTCTGTCAGAATGTATGTGGAGTCTTGAGTATGAACAGAAAACCACACCTATATGTTGAACTCTGAGAAATAGCACGCTTACTTAAATGCACTGGAGTGGCAGTAATTACAAATAAAAAAACAGCCCTCAATGAATCCAAGATTTGCAGTGAAGAATCAATAGGCTCGGTGGTTAGCACTGTCGCTTCACAGTTAGAAGATCCCCAGTTTGCACCCTGGTTAGGGATCATTCTGTGTGGAGTTTGCATGTTCTCCCCGTGCAGGTTCTCTCTGGGTTCTCCAGCTTCCTCCCACACAGTCCAGAACATGTTGAGGTTAATTGGTGATTCTAAATTGTCCGTAGGTGTGAATGTGAGTGTGCTTGGTTGTCTGTCTCTAAGTGTAGCCCTGTGATAGACTGGTGACCTGTCCAGGGTGTCCCCTGCCTTCACCCTGAGTCAGCTGGGATAGACTCCAGCCCTCCATGACCCTAGTGAGGATTAGTGATAATAGATAAGGGATGGATGGATGGGTGGATGGATGGATGGATGGAATCGACAGTGATTAAGATGGCCTTCTAGCTCAGAGGCAAACAATCTCACAGAAAGACCCAAAAAACATTGGATGATAGAATAAAGATGAATGTCTTCACAGAAGGTGCCATGGACTGAAAAAAGTGAAGAATGCCAAGAAAAAAAAACCAAAGCAGCAGAGTAGTCTTGCAGAAGTGTGACAACATCTTGCCAATAGTCACAGAAGTAAAGAGAGATCGTCAATAAATTACATTTTTTACACATTGTAAGCACGTCAAATCAAACTAATTTAATACCTTTTAAATTCATTGCTTTAAAGCCTTGTGATATTTAGCCACGCTAGAGGCCTGGCTGTAGGGGCAGCAGTATCGATCTGTTCTTCTGTCTGCTGATCCACAGACTCCAGTTTTACCAACAACTGTGAATTTTGCCTCCAAGGACAAACAGGAGGAACGACTACAGCAAACGATTCACATGTGCACTTTTGTTTTATTCCAAATCTATCCTTTGGTCCAAATGTTCTTGGACAGAATTCGCTCCCAGACCCCACAGAGGCCTCATCCGGGTGATTCCACTCTCTGGGATTGACTGGAGCTCTTCTTGGGATCGTGCGAGCGCGTACAGTCAGTCGGATCGATTCTCGAACTTTCTTGTTAGCTTTATTGCAGCCAATCATTACTGCCTCTACCCGAATAACAGAGGTTCAATCACTGCAGTGACTAAAACCCTTGTGTGAGGGGCCTTGGATGGTTCACCTGGGATTCAACATGCTTGTAACGGTGACACAGGAGGACTGGAGCGAGTGGGTAAATTGAGTTGGCGAGAGCACCGCAGCAGCCTCCCTGTCAGACTCTCCACCGTGAGGTATTTCACGGCCACTGCCGAGCAGACACCTTTATACATGATGCATAAGTCATCTTTGAAAGAGAAGTTAGCATTTTTATTCAGAAAATATTTTTCAGGTAAGTAGAAGGAAAGGGCAGCAGGGATGAAAACATCATTGACGAGATTAAAATCTTCTTTTCCAGTGTGTCGGCCTGAACTTTCATATTTCTATATGGTGCACAAGTGCGGGCATAAAGTAAAAAACGAGTCAAAACAAGAATATTAGCATAATATTAGAATGCAGGGTTTGTTAGATGTAGGCAAATATATGCTTCAATAAAAACACAAATACTAGCAGCAACTATTGATTCAGTGTACTGTGGATGGACGAGCAGCTCCCAGTGCTGTGGAGTGAGTCTGTTGAGACAGTGGGGGGAGCTGCAGCATCATTCTTTAGTTGTTGGTCATTTCCAAAAGACAGAAGGCAGAGCGGTGCTGAGTAGTTTGTTCTGAGGGTAGGAGGACTATCATATACAGTGGAAGTGACTACAATATCAATTTTATACTATATGAAGAAATATTTTTTGTAATTGCATGACTGAGACTTTGAATATCTGTAGTTGCGGTTTAGATTTTCTGTATTAAAAATTCCACGGCAGGAATTCAATGCAGCGGAACAGTTTAATTTCGTTTTTTTTCAATTCTTTTTAAGCCCACTTTGTTTTCAAGTGTTGCACAGATTCCTGAGGAGATGCTTTGTCATTCTTAAGAGATTTTTCTTTGTTTTGATTTGCTCTCTTCTGGAGAGGCTGTGCTTTAGAAACTCTTGTGTGATTTCAGCAGATTGCTTCGGTTTGTTATCACACTTGAACATTCCTCTTCCTCCGAGAGTCTTCATGTCAGCCAGTGTGTCGGTGTATTAATCTGTAAACGACGACACCTTTGACACTTATTCAGCTACGTGTCATGGCGCTCCCGTCTCCACGCCTCACTGTTGGGACGATGCATTCACACCGAGCCTTGACCATCATCTGTGCTCATCAGGCTGCTTTTCTTAATTCCTTAGCCAAGCAGAGTTTTGTTCTAAGCAGAAACCATTCATGGAGTCCGACATTATCCAGTGTCCTTCACACTGTCTGAATGGCCACAGAAACTCTGATTTCCACTGATAATCCCTGTGCCGACTCTGAAGCATCCTCCTGTCTGTTTTTCACACCGTCCGTGGTGTCATTTTCAGAGGATGACCGCTGCAGCTCTGATGAGTGGTGCTGTGGCTCACGCTGCACCTGCTGATTAAGTTAAGGTGTTTCCTCTGATTTGTATTTTGGTGACTGATCATCCACTTCCATCTTTGTGAGGTATCGCAATCCAGTTTCCCAGTTCTACAAGTTGGGAATCCCAGTTGTTTTCAGTTTAGTTTCAGTGATTACAGGTGTTCTAACTCCGTGTCAGTGTTCACAGATGAGTCGCTTTCATTGCATTGGGGTTGAAGCCTGTATTTTTAGTACAGTCTTTCGAAAGTGTTTGTTTCTAATTGTGCATAAGAGGAAACACTACCTTCAACTTAGAAATAACGTAATTAGTGACGCCATTCAGTATCTAAATAATGCTACAGAGAAGATGTGTTCACTGCTGTTGTATACTGTGCCGTCTATACCAAGTATGTTGTGTACATACACACGTGGACAAAATAGTTGGTAGCCCTCGGTTAATGAAAGGAAAATCTACAACAGTCACAGAAATAACTTGAATCTGACAAAAGTAATAATAAATAAAAATTATAGGAAAATTAACCAATGAAAATCAGACATTGCTTTTGAACCGTGGTTTAACAGAATTATTTAAAAAAATAAACTCATGAAACAGGCCTGGACAAAAATGATGGTACCCTTAACTTAATATTTTGTTGCACAACCTTTTGAGGCAATCACTGCAATCAAATGATTTCTGTAACTGTCAGTGAGACTTGTGCTCCTCTCAGCAGGTGTTCTGGTCCACTCCTCATGAGCAGACTGCTCCAGGTGTCTCAGGTTTGAANTTGGGAATCCCAGTTGTTTTCAGTTTAGTTTCAGTGATTACAGGTGTTCTAACTCCGTGTCAGTGTTCACAGTTGAGTCGCTTTCATTGCATTGGGTTGAAGCCTGTATTTTCAGTAGTCTTTCTAAAGTATTTGTTTTTAATTGTGCATAAGAGGAAACACTACCTTCAACTTAGAAATAACGTAATTAGTGTCACCATTTAGTATCTAAATAATACTACAGAGAAGATGTGTTCACTACTGTTGTATACTGTGCAGTCTATACCAAGCATGTTGTGTACATACATACGTGGACAAAATAGTTGGTACCCCTCGGTTAATGAAAGGAAAACCCACGATGGTCACAGAAATAATTTGAATCTGACAAAAGTAATAATAAATAAAAATTATAGGAAAATTAACCAATGAAAATCAGACATTGCTTTTGAACTGTGGTTTAACAGAATTATTTAAAAAAATAAACTCATGAAACAGGCCTGGACAAAAATGATGGGACCCTTAACTTAATATTTTGTTGCACAACCTTTTGAGGCGATCACTGCAATCAAATGATTTCTGTAACTGTCAGTGAGACTTGTGCTCCTCTCAGCAGGTGTTCTGGTCCACTCCTCATGAGCAGACTGCTCCAGGTGTCTCAGGTTTGAAGGGTGCCTTCTCCAGACGGCATGTTTCAGCTCCTTCCACAGATGTTCAATAGGATTTAGATCAGGGCTCATAGAAGCCACTTCAGAATAGTCCAGTGTTTTCCTCTGAGCCATTCTTGGGTGTTTTTAGCTGTATGTGTTTTGGGTCATTATCCTGTTGCAAGACTCATGACCTGCGACTGAGACCAAGCTTTCTGACACTGGGCAGCACATTTCTCTCTAGAACACCTTGATAGTCTTGAGACTTCATTGGACCCTGCACAGATTCAAGACACCCTGTGCCAGATGGAGCAAAGCAGCCCCAGAACATAACAGAGCCTCTTCCATGTTCCACAGTAGGGACAGTGTTCTGTTCTTGATATGCTTCATTTTTGCGTCTGTGAACATAGAGCTGATGTGCCAAAATGTTCCAGTTTAGTCTCATCTGTCCAGAGGACATTCTCCCAGAAGCTTTGTGGCTTGTCAACATGCAGTTTGACAAATTCCAGTCTGGCTTTTTTATGATTTGTTTTCAACAGTGGTCTCCTCCTTGGTCGTCTCTCATGAAGTCCACTTTAGCTCAAACAACAACAGATGATGTGATCTGACACTGATGGACCTTGACCTTGGAGTTCACCTTTAATGTCTTTAGAGGTTGTTCTGGGCTCTTTTGTTACCATTCCTATTATTCGTCTCTTCAATTTGTCATCAATGTTCCTCCTGCAGCCACATCCAGGGAGGTTTTCTGAATAATATGTAGAACTGTAGTCACAGGAACATCAAGCTGCTTGGAGATGGTCTTACAGCCTTTATCTTTAACATGCTTGTCTATAATTTTCTTTCTAATCTCCTGAGACAACTCTCTCCTTGGCTTCCTCTGGTCCATGTTTAGTGTGGTACACACCATGTCACCAAACAGCACAGTGACGACTTGTAACCCTATAAATAGGCCGACTGACAGATTACAAGTTTGTAGACACCTGTGATGCTACTTAGAGGACACACCTT